GCAGGAGCGCCAGACTCGAGGGGAGCCCCAGGGGCACTGGACTCAGCGGGGGCACCGGTTCCTGCAGGGGCGCTAGGGACTCCAGTCTCAGCGGGAGCACCGGGGACGGTAGGAGCTCCAGTTTCAGCAGGAGCCTCGGGAGCGCCGGGCTGAACAGCCGGAACGCTAGGTTGAACAGCCGGAGCACTGGGCTGGACGATAGGAGCACTGGGTGGGACAACTGGAGCAGCGGTAGCAGTTTCCTCGCAAGAGGTAATCGTTACTGTGTGCTCGCCATTCGTATCCAAGGCACTGGCAGTACCGGCGGCGATGGCCAAAGCAGTGACGACGTGGTTTGAGATATGCATTGTGATCGAGTGGATGAGGTGAAGATGATGCCAAGTAGGGCAATGCTTTTAGTTTGAAAGGGACAGATCAAAGATTTGTCTGAGAGAAATGTGTAGAAGTATCGATTAAATGTGTAGGCGATGCAAACTGATGAATGGAAGACTGATGATGAGGAGATTCGGACAGCTCATCTAAAGGCCTTTATAGTAGCCCCAGGGCCACTAATCCGGTATCATCAAAGAGAATGAAACTATCCATCTTGCCTTTTGATAGAGTGAGCGCCTGCAACCGGTCTGGCCATACAGCACGGCGACTGTGTATCAATGGGTGCTGCATCCGGAGAAGCACAATATCCTATTATGCTCGACAGGCTGCCTAAACACCGGAGAAAGACATTGGAATCAAATGGCAGCAAGAGAGACTGCCCAGGGCCAGCATGAAGCAGGTCCTATCACGTGAAGGTATAATTCCGGCTCCATGGATCCTGGAAGAGCATCTGTCGTCAGCAGATTACCGGATGCGGATATCACGATGCGGCCAACAAAGCATGAAATACAACCATCTCAATCTAAGTAGAGCTGGCCCAAGGTGGGCCCCACCGATACCACAAAGCATTGTGTCTCTAGGTTGAATGCGAATATAACGCAGGGCACCAGGGGGACGAAGCCGGAAACACCCACGGTCAGCGTTGGGTAAAGGTCCGTTGACAGGGATGACAGGATTTGCAACCAACAGGGTAGCATTGAATGCTGCCAAACCAATGCTGTGGCTCGTTCATCTTACAAACAGTATGGGGTAAATGTATGAAATGTGATCAAGAAGCGCTGGTGTTTGTACTAGTGGATATTGCGGTTCTTCATGACCCGTCTCGGTTGCTCTGACCTCAAAAGGCATTTCCAAGAGATAGTTTTTTTCTATCTGGGACCATTTTTAGTAGAGATGAATAACAACGAGCGTCGGTAGTGTAACGGTTATCATTCTTGCCTTCCAAGCATGAGACCCGGGTTCGACTCCCGGCCGACGCAGATCTCACCACTACTTTCTTTTTTTAGTCTCTCATGAGCTTTTTGCTCATGACCCAAGTGTTCTTGCAGTTGGAAAAAATATAGCATTCATCAAAGAACCTTAATTACCATAGGCTTCTATACAGACCAGAAAATCAGTATAGTTTTGAAAAGACATTGTTTAAGTATAGCTGAATATTTCTTTCATGGGTCAGTAACCTCGACGCTGTCCTTTTACTGCCCTTTCTACACAGTCAAAAGATATTTATACAAGATAAGCTGAAAACAAAAAAAGAACTGATCTTTTTTAATGCGTCGGCCGGGAGTCGAACCCGGGTCTCATGCTTGGAAGGCAAGAATGATAACCGTTACACTACCGACGCTGATTAGTTAATCATTTTAGCTCCCCTTAGCCTAATGAGGTCAATACTTTAATGGCACATACAAGATATCCACCTTAATTCTACTATCTTCACCTTATTTATTTTAGACATCATCAGTTTAGTCTTCGAATCCAATTTGCCTAGTGTATAAATCTCCGCTAGTATTCAAGACTTTCCTCCCCGTCGATGATGATACTGCTATTTAGAATATGTTGGTGGGTCTGGATATTCTTCAATATATATCGACACCAGTTCGCTTGAAGCACCATGTGGTATTGTTTCCTGAAGGCTACCCATTGCCCATTTCTTCTCTCTCTTCCCCATGAGTCCTCCACAAGAATACAGCCCATAGTTACCACAGTCTCTACTCTGAAAAGGACTGTCTAGGTCCTGTATGCTGCCAACTGTCTATCAATCTAACTGTAAGCTAACGCAGCTGACTAAGGCCGTCAAGTCACGCCTCGGATTCATGACCCGCAGCTTAAATGAGCGACCAATCGATCATTGAATCAATCAATCAATCAATCACTGCCTCCCTCGTGCACTCACTAGTCGTCCAGGTCAATGTATTGATCTAATTTCGGGATTTACTGATCCCGCCATTCGTTACCATCCCCCATGCCTACCCGACGTGATATCCCTAGTCATTCCCTCCTTTCCCCCGGCGATTACGACGAAGATGCTGAGTCCTTGCGATCACCGTCAGAGCAGGACTCTGACTCCGAAGATGACGAGTTTCTCCGTAGATCTCGCACAACCCTGGAACTAGCGGAGCATGATCGCATGGTGCTGAATGACGAGGAGGAAACGGAGAAGCTACTGATCAGGGGAGGTCCAACGCACGGTCTGCGGCGAATCTTTAGCCCTAATAGCCCAAGTGTAAAGATCGGAAAGCGAGAACGGCGACAGAAACGGCGGGAGGAAAGAAGAGCTGCGCGCAGAGGACAGCATGAGAAAATGACTGACTCGGGGGAGTTGATGTTCGAGATGGAAGAAGGTCACCGGGAGGACGACGAGAGCTCTCTCCTTAGCCGATCGTCGTCCGATCTAGACCGACAACTCAAGGAATATGGTGGTGATGAGGTATGGTTGCCTTACCCATACTAATACCAAGCGTATGTTCATTATTGGTCGTCTAACCGTCTTATTTTTCTCAGCGCCCTCAGCGCGTCTCGCGGCTTAAGCTTGCCTTACTTTTCGCGGCGATCTTTGTCCTCTTCCTTATATTCCTTCTAGGAGCATACAAAGCATCAACGCCTTTCCGGACTACTAAACCCTCTCAAGCGTTGCTGTCGAACGGCACTGCTCTTTTTTCACCCACCACGATCCTGATCTCTCTTGATGGGTTCCGAGCGGATTTCCTCAACCGTGGGTTAACACCAACCCTCAACAAGCTCATTGCCGAGGGTGTATCGCCGCAGTACATGCTACCCAGCTTTCCAAGCGTCACCTTCCCCAACCATTTTACTCTCGTTACCGGATTATATCCCGAAAGTCACGGAATTGTGGGAAACACCTTCTGGGACCCGGAGTTGCAGGAGGAATTCTACTACACCCACCCGTCAGTTAGTATGCGGCCCGAGTGGTGGAATGCCGAACCATTATGGATGGCTGCCGAGAAACAGGGGATCAAGACAGCCATTCATATGTGGCCTGGTTCCGAAGCGCATATTGGCGGAGTTGAGCCGACAATACTGGATAAGTACAATGGCTCGGAAGCGCTCCCTCGCAAAGCCAATCGCATCTTGGAATTCCTTGACATGTCTGGCCTCGAGGACGAGTCCGAAATAGTCTCGGAGCGACCTCAGTTCATCGCTGCCTATGTTCCTAATGTAGATGCTGATGGGCACAAGTATGGGCCCAACAGCACAGAGATCCAAAGCACTATCTCAGAAGTAGATGGCATGCTGGGTAGCCTTCTCGCCGGCTTGCAAGACCGGAACTTGACCGACATCGTTAACATAGTAATCGTCTCTGACCATGGAATGGCCACTACGGCAACCGAACGATTGGTGCAGTTGGATGATTTTATCGATCTCAATTTAGTGGATCGCATTGATGGATGGCCGTTGCGTGGGCTGCGTCCCAAACGACCAGAAGATGTCGAGACGCTTCAGAAACAACTGGAAAGCATAGCTGTGAACTACTCACATGCGGTTGAGATTTACACCCGTGAGACGATGCCCGAGCGCTACCACTTTACGAACAATGATCGCATCGCCCCTCTTTGGGTGATTCCGAAGACTGGCTGGGCGGTGGTTGAACGACCTGACTTCGACGCCCATAGCGCCTTGGAGAAAGGCGAGGTATATCACCCGAGGGGCGTTCACGGGTATGATCACGAAAATTCGCTGATGCGGGCGATCTTCATTGCCAGAGGCCCGGCATTTCCTCACCAACCTAATAGCCGGGTAGAAGCATTCCGTAAGTGCTAATTTGTCTTATGATGGAAACGGACTAATCAGAGTAGAAAATATCAATGTTTATAATATCCTTTGTGATACTCTCGGCCTCGACCCACGCCCGAACAATGGAACACTGCGTCTGCCTCTAAAACCCGTGGGCCTCCATTCGGACGAGGACACTCCAACGCTTGAAAACCCCTCTGACCCTCCAGCCAGCAGCATGGTTACTCCTGCATCGCTTAGCACGACTTCGACTGTACCGGCTTTTACAAGCCCAACAGCTACCTCTACAACCGTCCCCGAGGCCCCATCAGAGGAAGAGTCAGATGATGAGGCGGACAACGAAAACGACCAACCCTCTACCTGGTGGGGGTCTCTTTGGGATAAAATCGAGGACCTGAAGGATTGGGCGGGTGACCTAATTGAGACCGTGAAGGACAACTTCCCTTAAATTTCGACGTTATCGCAGAGCCAATGGACTCGATGATCGTGGTATAGTATATACTATTCGTTGCTTTAAAGATACCCACTTTTCTCCGTGTTAGATAGTATACATCTTGTTGGATAATCTAATTTTTGTTTTTGATTTTTGGTTCGCTGCAATACTTCCGTCTCTGAAGAGAGAAGAAAAGAATTCTCCAATGAATCTGGGTCAAGCGATTGAATCCTTGAGGCTGAAATCCTTGAGGCTGAAATCCTTGAGGCTGAAATCCTTGAGCGCCGATCGCAACGTCATTGCCGCATCGGGTCTGCCCTAATCGGGTACCCGACGAGGAAAAATGATTGAAATGATGACTCAAGGAAAAGTCCAGCCGCAATGCGCCACAACCAGGACCCAATCGTAGAGTCATGCTGGCATGTCGATCAAGAATTTTGATGCAGGCACCTGTTGCACTGTCATGGAATTGAGGTCGACCCCATCCGATCTGTCTTTCTGCCTTATGGACCGGTGCTGCCTAGTACCGGGAGATAGACGTTATAAGGACGTGAGAACGCCCGCCATGGTCGCTGGATAAATCATTCAGGGAAACAGGAAGTCAATTGACCCGATTACTCCGAGTCGTTCATTCCTTAGGGCTCATTGTTTCTGATCTCGTTTCTTTACTCTCTCTTAGTATTGTGCCCTGAGAACCCTGAACAGGCGGGCTCTTAGTATAGACAGTACATGCCGACACAGCATACCATCTTCAGAGACCTTGATTGGAACCATATAAAGCCATCATGGAGTCCGCGCAACTTTCGAGTATTATCAATCAAACCAATATGAATTCAACCACTTCCCCCCTTCTATCTCCCTCCGACACAGCCCTCCTCGAAGCCTTTATCCCAGGCTACTCCTTCATCTCGAGATTTCTCATCTCCTACCTTCAAATCGACCTCTCTCTCTACCTCCCCTATATACTCACCTACATTGCCATCGCTGCGGTGCTCAAATACTCCTTTTCTAAACTTAAGGGCGTCATGGAAACCCACTGCATCGCAACAGCTGAAATCCGTCTCGACGACGAGATCTCCAACTACCTACTGTACTGGATGGCGCAGCAGCCCTTCGCAAACCGGAGTACGCGGTTCCTCGCCACAACACGGATCTCCACTCAATCGTACGATTACGACTCCGATGACGAGGACGAATGGGGCGAGGAAGACGAGTACGACGAGGACGGCAACGTGATCAACAATTTCGACGAGTACTGGGCGAAGACGCGCAATCGAGATAAGTTCAAGCGTCTGAGGTTCACTCCCGCGGAGGGGACGCACTATTTCTTCTTCCACGGTCAGTTACTGGCCTTTGTCCGGGCCAAGGGCGATCAGAAGCCTTCTTCATCATCTCGGTGGGGCGCGCGCTTCGAGCCCGAGAGATTGTATCTGTCATGTTTTGGACGGGACCCGGCCATCCTGAAGGAGTTGCTGGCGGAGGCGCAGCGGATGTATGTCGCGCGCGACGGGAACAGTACCATCATCTATCGTGGGCAGAGGAGTCCCGGTGATTATGTGGATTGGTCTCGCTGTATGGCGCGCTCCCCGCGCCCTCTGTCGACGGTTATCCTGGACCAGGCCCAGAAGGATGCCTTTGTTGATGATATTAAGGAGTATCTTCACCCCCGGACGAGGAGGTGGTATTCCAATCGGGGTATCCCCTATAGACGGGGTTATCTCCTCCATGGACCCCCCGGTACAGGGAAAACGAGCTTGTGCTTTGCCGTGGCTGGCCTGATGGGGCTTCCTTTGTATCTTCTCAATCTGAGCTCGAAGTCCTTTAGCGAAGATGACCTCATGTCTTTGTTCCAGGAGCTCCCCCGTCGGTGCATCGTCTTGCTTGAGGACGTTGACTGCGCCGGTATCACGCAGAAGCGAGTCAGCGACGGCGGCGAAGACTCGACGCCGAAGGCCGCCGATGGTAAGGAAGGCGATGCGCCCGAGGACGCGGATGCCGAATCCTCGAAGCAGGGCGTCTCGCTCTCCGGTCTTCTGAATGTGATCGATGGTGTAGCCGCCAGCGAAGGCCGTATCCTGGTCATGACGACAAACCACCCTGAGAAGCTTGATCCGGCTTTGCTGCGGCCTGGTCGGGTTGACATGTCGATTCAATTCGGGTACGCCGAGCCTGGTGACATTAAGGAGCTTTTCTCGGCCATCTATTCCACGCTTGAGGGTGATGTACGCTCGTCAAGGACGAAGAGACCACCCCAGGGAAAGAAGGATCAGGTGGCGTCGGAGGTCCCATGGCATCCGTTCTCGCGTGAGCAAATCCAGAACTTGGCAGATCAGTTCCTTGCGCTAGTGCCAGGTGGCCAATGTACTGCTGCTGAGATCCAGGGGTATCTCCTGAACTATAAGAGGGATCCCGAAGCTGCTATCGAAGGGGTTGAGGATTGGGTGCAAAGCATTCGATCAAAACGGGAGGGGAAAACAGAAGCAACTATAAAGTCAGGCTAGGGGCAACTGTGTGGATGAATGGATGGTTTTTGTACACTGCATAGAGATACCCAAAAGGTCCTTACCTGTTCGACTCATTTTTGCATATAGTTAGTTGAAATGACAAGCTCGAATATTGTTCTAGACCTATTTGTTGTAACTTTCGTACTACAGGAGATACCAAGGCATGTAACCCTACTAGGGGTAGAGTTGGTGATCATAAGAAACAATGGCTGGACAAGTGTTTGGGTGCCTAGGTGTAACATGGTGTAGCTGCAACAACTGCAAGCCCATTGACAGTCAAAAGGTGTTCTAAGCCATGGAATCTGAAGAGAGAGAAGAGTATGTATATGAGCTAAGTCAAATGCTAATTACATAGTGTAGGAATAGTGGGCTGGCCGTGTGAAGTGCTATGTAGTGAAACCGAATTCCGGCAACGCCTCCGGAATCCCGCCAAAATAGATACAGCGCAAAAAGGGGCTAGGTTACTTCGGTCATAGGAGAGTCACCTGCTGTTCTGATATGGAGATATCGGCGGCATATGTACATCGTGTGTTGTTTCGACAGAAGCCATGAAACAACATCCGATCTCCGCAACCGCAGACAGTACCGCCCCCAGGAGAAGTAAGACCATAGTCACCGGATTTGAGCAATTTCTCACCACTCTTGACATAGGGCCCGGTGATAGACTTCGAGGTCGCATAACGAACGTCGTACTTGGGGTCCGTGAAGCAATGTGTGGAGTAAAAGAGAAAGTATGTGTCCCCATGTAGAATCAGGTTGGGGGCTTCGACTAGCGGCCCATCGCTGTCATCACGGTCAAGAATCTGGATAGCATCACCAACCGGAGTGAAGCCATCATCCGCGACTTTCTGTAGAAGAATAGGAGTCGGTTTAAGAGGAGGAATGCCATTGTTGCAGTCACCGCCATTTCCAATGCTGTTCCCATCAACTTTGAATACCACATAGCGGCTGCCATCCTTGTCCAGGAAGCCGGCCGGATCAATCGAGCCACCTTGGTCCAGACGGCAAGACAGAGGTGTCTCGTTAGGTACATAGGGTCCGGTAGGATCTGTGCCTTCAGAGACGGCAACACCAACGCAATGGTGCCTCACCATCTCCTTGGCCTCGCCCGAGTAGTACATGACGTATCTGCCATCATCCTAAGAACCTAATTAGCACAAGATTTGACTCCAACAGCAAGGCAAAAGAAAATGAGAGAAAATTACCCGTCTTATCACATCAGGTGCCCAGTGATCTATCTCAGTCTCCCAATTGGCAAGCGTAGGCAAAGCCTCCTTGTCAAGAAGAGTCCATGACTTGAAGTCCACAGAAGAAGCCACCTGGACACGCTTGCCATTTCCATTGGTGCCAAAGGCATACCAAGTACCGTCCGTTGCTTGCACAAAGGTTGGGTCCGGGAAGTCAGAATCGATAGCCAAAACAGCACCTACTTCCTGCACCCGGAAAGGAGAAGCTAGCACAGTCGATATCAAACCAAGGCCTATGGCCCAAGGGAGAAGCTGGGACGACCACATAGCACGTTACGGCTGACTTGACGTCCTTGGGGAACAGAGGTACAGATCGTCGAAGAGGGTAACGTCAACAGTTCGCTAAGGGGCTGGGAAACACGCAGCTGCGAGTGACAGCGAGGGGAAGAATCTGTGCAGGAATGCTATCTCACCAGGCTGCCTGAACGCTTTATATTTGATCGCTTTAGGCTATGGTGGCAACCATCGAGCGGCGATGCCATTGTTCGCATTGGGTAGCATGATCCTTTCCTCCCCGGTGACTCCAATAGTCATTTGATGCCGGCCTTAAAATTAGCGACTATGCCTACTGCGCCCAGGTACTGGATGCATCGCCAGGTGTTGGGACTAAGGCAGATGTGTGTTTGGGGGGGGCAAGCAACTATCGTAGAATACCATCTGACATAGGCTAATAGTTAGTGGGTCAAGTAAGCGGCATCGAGCTCACGGACAACAAAGACATTGACCGCGGCGTGGCTGAGCCTGAATGCGATATTCATGTCTACCTGTAAGTGTCCCGAAGCTGCCCATTGCCCAGTTCGGGACAGACTGCACGCGGTCCCTGGATGCCACTGCGGGAAAATTTAAATTAGACTATAAGGCCTTGAATGAACTAATCTCACCAATCAACTAAAAGAGCAAACCAATCAGTGATGGCAAGAGTAGATCCAAAGCAAAGAGGGCCTGGTGTGAAGTTCGCATGATTCCGAAAGCGGTACTGCATTCACTCAGCGAGTCATTCATTCATCGCTTGCCGTAACGCGGACAGTAAGGGATCTAATATCCCTCCTATATTTCTTTTTTGCCGATTTAGTAGAACAAATACAAATAACCAAAAAATTATTAGCCTTTTTGAATGTTGGTGGATTTGTCGATTCTTGACCAATGCCAAGAAGATGGTGCCCGGAAACAACAGTGTGGATCAGAAGTTGATTTATGGGGACATGCCCGGTTTTTGCAGAGTGCAAGGGAGACCCTCATTGGACCCTGACCGCTCATAATCATTAAACTTTGATGCCCGGACTATAAAAGACAGGGCAACAAGTAAAAGAGATTCCAGGAACGCCATGTAAAACGCCCCTCGCTGCAGGTTCACCTCTGTATTTTGCGGCTTCCCACTTGCTGGGTGACCGAAGTCATACAGGTCCAATCTAAGTTTTCAAATTTAAATCATTTAGTGTACCAAACGCCTTCGGAAGCGGTGAATTCTGGCGAGCGACAACTCAGTGCTGTTGGAATGGACCCGCTCATGGTTGCGGCCCATCCATTCTCCTTTAGGAGGACAATTCTGGATATTTCTGTTAGCTATCCCGATTGTTCTTGCCTTCATGTGACTCCATGTTCGTGGTTATCCATAAAGGAATAAGCATAAATCAACCGTGCGCGGTCATGGCATCACGGACCCAAGATTGGAGGGGCCCTGTGTCATTTGTTGGTGTTACTCGTAAAATAACTGAGTACACTTCTATAAAATCAAGCGAAATTGACTGCCAAGTAAGTAAAGGCGAACGAACGAAAGGCAAGTGTTGAGATCATGGGGCTGATAGAATCAATACCAGTCTCTTGCACAAGGGGCGTGCCCGATCATCCCAAGGGACAATTAAATCTCGGTCCGCCTGCACCCTTGCGTGGGACCACGGACTTTCTGCTGTTGTAGCATCCTATCGCACTGCTTACTACCGAACACTCGTTGAACTCAAAGCCTGCCACGACAGACTTCCGGACCGAGGCTGCCCAAATATCGTAGGAAACCATCCCATACATCTCCAGGTTGATGCGCAGTAGCATTTTTGATTTCCTATCTGATCTGACCTTTTGTAGATCAGTCATGAGGGCCTTCATTCTCTCGTGTCCTAGTCAGGTGAGCGATGGACCTCGTTTACTATGAGAGATTATTTGAGCATTTTCCATAGAAACCCAAACCCCGCAATTCGAAGGTGCCTTAACCTTGTGGGGTCACATATATCATACGGAGTATATCATGGTGATCTCTAGTTAAATCCGCCAAGGTTAGTGGGGGTTACAAACTCATGGGACGAATCAGCTACTAGTGAAGTTTCCTTTCTTTTATATTCCGTGGTCACCGGGGTATTCTTTTTTCCCTTGGACGTATGTTGACCGAGATCGACGCATCGTGGCAAGACATCTCAAAGCAGTGTCTGGAAAGCTTGGAGAGGCTCGACCCATGCAACTAGACGCGTGATCTCAAGACACGGGTGTCGGAGTATCGATAAGCATTTGGGCCTCGTCACCACATCAAAGGGGCAATTTATCGATGAGCATGTTCAATGGGTACTTGCAGAGTAAGGCATACATTAAGAGGGAAACGAAAGAGAATCGGGATGTTTGGGTTGTTTGTCCGACTCACGAGACCTTGATGAGTCCCACACCCCCATAGTACTAGCAATGGTTCTACTTGGTTGATGATATGTTCCCCAGCTATTCACGTCATATACCACATGTCGTAGAAAGAAAGAAGAAATCGCTTTCATTGAACCAGATGAGATGAAGAACGACAAGTGCAATATGCCCCAACACCATCAAGCAATAAACTGCATATATGCTGGATATCATAGCGTGACACGATCAACATAGACAGCTTAGATGACCTAAAAAGTAAGGACCCATGTTTCAAATGGGGTGCCACGAGGCTCCCTTTTCCCATCCTCCCGCGTAGTGTACAAAACAGGCTCAAAGTCGGAAGACGAAGCATACTGCCGAATCAAATGCCTCCAGTAACAAGACTCCGCAGCTGGAGTGAGATACCGGTCGCGGAAAGTTTTAACTGCATTGTTTGCTATGCGTTCCGCTGCCTCTGGGTTGTCGATGAGAAACTCAATCTTGTGATCAAGATCAGAAAAGTCCCGCTCAACCTCAACATAGTTCGCTTCGGAACCAGAGGAGATGAGAGCGGCATGGTGCGCTTCTCGCCAGACTAACTTGTGCGAGATGACGACCGAACGGCAATTGAGGAGATACTTACCGCGTCCTGAGAAGCTGCGTCCTTCCGTGTGCGCCAGGAACATATACCTACAGTGCTCTTCTATAGGTAACAGATTGAACCGGATGTCATTCTCGTCACCCCAGTCAATAGCCCGTATACTGGCCCAGCTCCTCCCTTGGGCAGCCTTCAACAGCTTGCCACGCACCTGGGGGTTTGTGGCAACGTTGCCTCGCCAAACAAGCTGCTTCTTCTTCTCTTGGAATTGCATGCCGGGGATAACTTGGCCGTCTACCGTTACTTCCCCATCATCAACGGCGGCAATTCGGCGTCGGGCATCCTTATACGAACCGACATTGACTTCCGGCCACGACCAGTACCCAAAATCTGGCATCAACCAGACATTGGTATCCTCATCGCGTTTGGAGTATGACCAAATTGGCCCTTGTCCGCTGCTATAGTCTTCCGTGGTCAAAACAAATTCAACATTCGGAAGACGATCTCGATCCGGGAATGAGGACAATGCGCGCTGCAATGAATTCAACGTTGCCTTCCCTCGAGTGAAGGTAACAGGCATGTTACCAAAATCAACAATATACAGCTGCCGTAGAATGCAAAAGTCAATACACGGCTTCCATCAGCCCGAATTCCTGAGAAGAACCAACCTCTCCATGATCGATAATACCCCTCACCATCCCATCTTCCACCATTAGGCTATCCACATCTTTGAATTGAATGGGATTGTTCTCTCTGAATAAAGCAGACTTATCGAGCTCAACAAACAGTTTCGGAAACGCAGCGCGACATTGTTCTTCAGAAAGCCCGTGATCATTTCCATCTTTTTCGACCTGAAACTCCCAGGAAGAGTCATTCCTGCATGTAGGAGGGAAGGAATGCTTGACAGGGGGTTTTAGCGCATATTTGGCGACTTCAGCTGAGTATCTGGTGCTGAAGATGAGGAATGTGACAACGATCAACGAGCACACAGCGCCCGTACCCAAAAAGCGGAGTCGGGTTGATTGACCTTGCGACCAGCGCATTTGTGGTGTATATATCTTTTGTCACTATATATATTTATTCTCTCCCGGGCGTCGCCCTTGATTTATAACTTCCTCAATCTCTTGTTATTCAATGGTTGGTAGGCTCATCACTCTAGGTGGTGTTGACGATATATCGGTGGTTCTAAGGTGTGTTGGTCATGCAATATCGGAGAATAATCATCATGTCTCATTCATAACCTCATTAAGCCATGGCCCACGGTGGAAGCATGCGTGTCAGAACATAATAGTAGTATGTCTGCTCCTCCCTCGCCTGCCGGGCCGATATGAGGAGGGACAGAAGTTATGTTCCCATGGCAACACCGGGTAAGCCAATGATGACAGGTCTTTATAGATTCAGAGTCTGGGCTCTAATGGATGCTTATCTAATGTTAACAAACAGCAGCTAACTAAGGCATTGCTATTACTCTGGAATCTGCATGTAGATTCACTTCTACTCAGAAAACGGGTAGCTATATAAACAAAGGCCGCTGCCGCCTGCGGACACCTTAGGCCTCGTGTCTATGCTCGAAGAATACTCTCAATTATGTACAGGGAGATCGCAAGTTTCAGATGTATCAGGGGTATCTCAAAATCAATCAAGAAAATGTATCACGAAGACAAGGGGTAAGCTTAACAAACGATAGACTCCAGGCCCGTCTCCTGGCCATCGACGGGATGCAAGAAACCGATCGTATAAGAGACAAAATACTCTTGTGGGTGGGCAGGGTGCGACTCCGATAATAAGAGCGCAATTACCCGGCTTCTATGAGAAAGGCAAAGGGGCACGTCCAGCGCATGCCGCAGAGATCGTCCAACGTGTCAAGACATCATATGAATACAAAGGCGACGTTTATCATCTAGAGCGGTTACCCACCGCCTTGGGTGCATTGTTGCTGAAGTAACTTTCATCAATCTTCAGAATCCATTCGACCTTTTGAGCCTCGGTCCGGGCAGCGAAGAGGAAGGTGTTCTGAGACCCATATACCGCGAATACGTTGGGACGGCCCTTGGGCGACGCGCCTTGGTCAGCTCCCCCACCTGGACCATCAAGCAACCGCGCAAAATCAGGTGCATGGTCGACCCGCGAATTGCGCAGGTTAATAGCATTTATCTCATCCCCTTCAGCGGAATAAATATGAAGATATGGGCGACGAAGCTCAACAAAACGCCGCACCCAATGACTGTAGGCGTCGTCGGGCGTCAGCAGATATCCGGATTTCAAGGAAGATGTATTCTTAGGAAGGGTCTGGATAGTCGCAACGAATCGTGGCTTGAGCGGCACCTCTTCAGAGACAGAACTCGAATCGTCACCCGAAGATGTTTGCCTGGCGCGAGAGGCGAAAGCTGCCCCTCCTGCAGGGGGTTCTGTATTGCTTCGGACAAGGATGGTCTCGATGGGATCAGTTTTTGTGGCCCAAAGTTCAACGTACTTTTGGAGAAGTTTGGTCTTGCGATCGGTAAGCTCCAGTTTCCGAAGAGGAGTCGACCTCCCGCTCCGCGGGGTTGACGGTGCAAGACAGTGGGCACTGAGGGCCCCTTTGGCGGCGTTCAGCTCGGCAATCCGACGCCTTCGCTTGCGGGCCGCCACGTAGTCCCGCACAAGCGAGACTTTCCGTGGAGACCAAGTCGTCAAGAGCTCCTCTCCCTTCACATAATCATTTTGCGTGTTCATGCGCCACAGATCAGCCGCTCGCTTTGCGGAGACGGGTCGAACAGCTAATGAAAACATGCGGACCGTTGAATGCACGATTCGAGTCGAGTTGAAAAACTGTTTGAACATGGACTGGGGACGCACATATGTGCGGCCTTGGATCTGAAGGGTCAGATCCATCTCGAACGGAACACTGTCCTGTAGCCGTGACGAGATAAGTTCCCACCTAACAGTCACCTGTACACGATACTTATCCGCAGTAACCCGGTCTAGGAGAAGAGAGCCATGCAAGCTGGAGTCCCATTGGCCAATGATAGTGACATTGGATGTTCCATCTGCATTGTCTTTCCGTACTGGCTCTTGCACGAATTTCAACGGAACGTCGGGAGTCTGAAGATCCTGGTCAGGAATCTTGCCCCACGGATCAAGCAACCGCACAGAGCCCACACGAATATTGATAAGGTCATCCCAGGGTAGGCTCTCGGTTGAACTGTAAGTAAGGTTAATCATGATCCGACGTTGGAGGCCTTGATGGAGCTGGTATGTGCCTGCATCAAGATTATTACTCTGTACTACTTCCACAGGGAGGTAATCGCCTGTTTCAGCCAACTCAAGCAACTGAGTCCTCGCAAATACGTCATGTCTCTCCTCCGAATAAAACTCTGACTCCGGAATACGAGGGGTCTTGCGTTTCTGTGGGGGCGGCTCTGCTGAGTCTCGCATATCATCCCAACTGAGAAGTTTGTCAAGGTGCATCTGAGTTACACGCGCGTAAACGCAAACTTTCAAGGCTGCCGAACGCGGGCTAGAAAGCGGTAAACTCATGCTGTGGACGCTTTCAAACCGAACTGGGGATTCATCAAAACCATTTATCATTTGGGTCGTTGTTGCGCCCCCTTCCTCAGATATGCCCGGTACGAAAAGTTGCGCATGAACATCAGTTCCTTCCCATTCAGCGAACCCTACCATATCACGCATGACAACGTTGAATTTGAGAGTTGACGAGGGCGCTTGAGCTGAAGACGGTTCAAGGGACAATCTTATTATACCGATAACATTCTGGGTATAAGGTGAAATAACTTCAACCGAAAAGTCTTGGACGCGAGTCTCAAAGACTGCTGTGAGCGGAATATCGGCGTCGCCCACCAGAGAATACTGCGGAGAACAAGGTTCAGAGAAAGGATTTTCAAGCTTGAAGTGTTGTATGTAGTCCGGGCGGTCAATATACTGGTGTAGCTGGCGCATAGCTTGAAGGCGGCGTTGAAGTTTCTCGATAGACCAGAGATGGATAACGCATTGTTTAAAGTCGATCACACGGATTGCAATGCAAGGCTTTTTAGCCTCGTCGAGCACAATATCTTCGTCCCCTGAAATCCCGTTCAGAACGAGATCATAGGATGACGCCATGTTATGCCCATGATCAATGACCGCAAATTGGAAGACAATATTCTTATCCATGATATGGCTCATTACTTGGGCCTCCTTCAACAAGGAAGCATGCTGCAAGACTCTCTCCGCCATACGAACGTAGTTCTGCTGCGACCAATGGAGAAAGACATCTCTTGCAATCTCGAGTTCCCTTGGATCCAACTTTGCAAAACCATTTTCATATATTTTCGGAAGCGGTTGGCCCATGTCCTTTATGTGAGACTCAAAAGCCTCCTTTTGTTTCCTTAGTTGCTCTTCAAATTCCTCTTTCGCTGCGCGAAGAGCTTCTTCCATCCGTGCCTTTTCGGACCGAATATCTTCAACGCCTTGACCAGAGGACACTTCGGCATTTCTTAGTTTCTCTTGGTACGCTTCCTTTTGCTGGTCTAACTGACGTTGCATGTCCTGACGTACGGACTGTAACGCCGTATCCCCTCCGTTTTGGCCCTCATCCTCGTCCGCAGGACGAGGGGTTCCAGGCATCGTTATGGCAGTGTCAAGAGAAAAGTTGTCGATGGTGCCATTCGACATGTATTTATCCCGAACCGGAAATGAACTAAGAGAATCGGAATCCTCTTCGTGCTCAACTAGCGCACGGCGTGTTGCCCGTACTTTTTGCACATCCTCGAAAAGGGCATCCAACTCATCATCCGGCATATGAGATATGTGATCCGGACCTAACACAGCACTGACGGCTTCTCGACGAGCATGAAGCCATTCCGATTCACGCCCGCGCTGTGAGGGCATGGGAGAATCAGCTCTACTGGAATCGCCGTCAACTTCTGAGCCTCCCTTGCTCAATGTTCGATCGTGAGTTTTACTCGGGGCAGGTGAGCCAAGCTGACTTGTGGTGACAGAGTGACGGAGCAAACTCTGCTCTACCCTCTCAGCACGCGCTTCTTGAGGGTGGTTGAAACGAAATATATGGAAGTCACCTAGGATAACTCGGAATCCACTTTTCAATCGTTTAGGCTTGTCAATGCGAAGGCCATTCACCATAACCGCGGCACCTTCGCCTGGTACAATAGTAACGACGTTATCCACATTTTCAAATTTACAATGGTTAGCGAGAATTTTAGAACCGTTCAACCGGATCTCCACATGACTCCCTTGATCCATGTTTCCAACCATGGTAGTTCCTGGTTTGATATTATAGACGAGGCACTCAGCAAGCAGTGGATCATCGCTAAGATTGACCAAGTGAGGCATCTTCTTTGGTGTACTTAAGCCAATAAACCCCTTTTCGATACTGATACCTAGCTCTTCCAAAGCAGCCTCGCGTTCTTTGTGAATCTGTTCGGTTTTTACCAACTTTTCTTCCCAAGTTTGATTCAGGTCTTTGTAGAGCTTTTCGCTTTGATTAAGCTGCTCAACGATCTCTGCTTTGCTAACTTTGGTGACAGACCCATCGGGTTTCTGGATAGAGACAACTTGCTTCTCCAAGGGTGTATCTGGAGGATAATACTCCTCAGGGGGTACTCCGCCGGCTGTTGCTGCCGCCGCGCCGCCGGCCGCCCCCGGGGCTACACCACCTCCAAGTTTGGCCCTAAGTTGTGCCAGCTCTTCCTTCAACTCTCTGATCATCCGCGCATTTGGATCTTCATTTACAACAGCATGGTTCTTAATTCGTTTGGCGGAGTCGGCATATCGTAGGGTACTGAGTGTCTCTTCAAAATTGATATCTGCCGGTGAAATTGCGGCAATCATAGCCGTCATGGAGTTGCCTCCTAAGGAGTCCTTCAGCAGCCATGTGAGGACGGAATCACGGTAAGGAACCATAGAGGCGTTTTTCTTTTTGCCAGAAGCTACGTCTGCGAGTGCAGCAATCACGCGTCCAAGTGTTGAAAGTGAACGATTGATCTCCGCGCCCTCCTTCAACCGAGCACCAGTTGCTCCGGTAGATGTTGCTCTTTCTGATCCTGCGAGGTCGACTAAACTAATCCTCGACACTTTCTCCGTATCCATCGATGTCTCCGCATCATGGCGTTTTTGTGTAAGGGTAAGCGTGAAAACCGCATGGGATCGACTAGACGTTTCGTTCATATTCGTGGCGGCGACAGTTCTGGCTTTGTTACCTTCGTCCATCAAGTTCTCGATCTCTTCAAACGAGCGTACTGCCAGCTTGGCAAGGTCTTCGACATAGGGGCCAGTCGACGGATGCTCACGCACTTTGAGATTTCCTTTGTTCGACGGGTTGAGAAGGTCGCGAACTCTTTCGTTGTAGATCTCCAAATAGGAAACTTCCACTGTGCAGCCGAGATTCTTGTCTTGTTGAATCTCAGTAATGCGCTCGAACATGGACTGGCAAATCCTAGGGATTACACCGTATTCTTTGCCGTATCCCATCATAGAATAGGACTTTCCAGAACCAGTCTGACCGTACGCGAAAATGCAATTATTGTAACCCTGAAAAGCATTATCTAGAAGTGGTATGCCTAAGTCATCGAAGAGATTGTCCTGACCCGCATAATTTGGGGCATTTTTATCGAAAGACCAATACGATCGGTCAAAGGCGAATGTCTTTGGTCCCTCTACGGCACCCTTCCCACCACCAGCTTTTCGTAGTTTATCAACGGCACCCGGTGGCGGGATGAGTACGGTCTGGTTTTCTTTCATCTGAACGATACATTGTGCCCCTCTATCGTTTTCTAGTCCCAACGAGATATCTTAGTGACTCGACCTTCATGTATGCAAAGCACGGGCTTTGCGTGTATCGCAATGTTGACTCACCTCTGCTATTAAACGGCCGTACTCTCACCACCACCTTGATATTTCCACCACCTCCTGGAGCCATTATGACCAATCCCCCATACACTCTGGAGCAGTTATCTACCGCCTGCTAAAGTGTTGTTTCTCGGAGGAGAAAAAGAAGAAAGGTAGCGCAAGCGGAAGCAATCAAAGGACACGAGTCGCGAACGCCTCGAGGAGCGCCGCTCGATAGAAGTTCGCAGCCCGGATATTCCCACGTTCGCTACACTACCCTGGATATGTTGTGTGTCTTTCTCGGTTTCACTTCGTGGATATAGAAAGTTGGTGTTGAGTGTCAACAAAGACGTCATGTACAATACATATGTCTCTGGGAAGCTCCGTCGCGTCTCAGGGGCAAGTATTGCGGTAACACTGAGCCCCGTACGTTTGCGAGTAACCAAGCGCGCGACCGATGTCGATAGAGTATTCCTGGGAGGGAGGTTAACGAAACTATGGGAAAGATTGTACAACAAAGATAGGTCGATTGAAGGTCTAGCCGACTCGCTCCCCCTTCGCAGGCACGGAAAAGCCGCAGGACGACCGAGAGGGCGGGCGGATTAGATAAGCGCCCCATGAGATCCTCTTCCAATCACCCATCATTCCTAAACAGAAGTGATATTTGAAATGTATTGTGCTTTTAAATTGGAATAGATATCCCAAGCGAATCGGTGATTCCTGTATATGACGTGCACTGATATGCAGGCACACCATAGCTTCAATTTTGATTAGTTCCCGATTCTTCCTTCAGCATACTATATATCCATGAAACACCCATTGTTTCTCCACGTTTTTCTCCATACTTCATCATCTTCTAGTCTTTTCTGTTCTCTCAATATATTCTGCGAATGAAGACATATATATTGCTTTTTTATTTATCTATTATTTATTTGTTTTTGTTGCATTAATTCTCCAACGTAGCTACTTCACCAACAGGCCCATGTGAAATGTACTTGCTGACTTACATGGAAAATAGATTTTATAGCTTCTATTAAAATAGTATCCACTAGTCCATGAGTGAATGATATCTATAACTATAATAGAGCATAGTTAAACGTTATGCAAAGACAAATATACCCTGCCATAAGACCAAGACAACGTACTCCAAATAGAATAAGGGGCAACGACGGGGCAACGACTGGACGTACGCCCAAGGTGATCGTGCTAATATACAATGAACTTCTCTACCGGTTACATAACACTAGGTAGATCCATAAATCTCAATAGAAATACACAGAGTTAGATCCGGGCTACTACATACAGATTGCCCAGAGAGAAGATATTCAAGATTCAGAAAAAACTAAGTGGTTCTGGCCCCCGCCTTCTCTCCGACCCGCACCTTCTAATGACGCGAATAAAGGCTTGAATATTTAGTAAGAAGAGGATGTATAGAGAGAATGTGAGGGGTAAAGAGCATGTAGAAGATTTGAGGGATAGGACGGTGGGAGAAACATGACATCTAAATCCTCATACTGGTAACAATTGAGGTCTGAGGCACACAAGGCATCAAGAGATACAGAACACCCCGCATTTGGTCTACGTACTGCTAGTACTAGTATTTGCCTCCCATGGCCCTGAAAATCGCATTGCCTGTTACAACTCGCTACTTGAGAATAACCATGCGGGATAAAATAAATTGACCGCTAACTATTCAATATAGTAGTGGTTTATATTGATGTTGGTCTCCTTTGATATACACACACCACTCGATTACCATGCGAGATGTTGTTCCAGCATAGCCTCAAGTACGGTTTTTGGGCTGATGCATTCAAGTCATAGAAAATTACTATGATTTATGATTGTTGTATATTGGGGATTCACTTCATACTTAACCACTATGCGTGCGTACACGTAACTAATTTAATTCTTAAATATACTGCATGTACAGCTGGCACTTTTGCTGTGGACCATCATCTTATGGACCTATAAGAATGAAACATGTATCAAGCGGTGAACAATGATTAATGGTAGCCTGATACTAAAGACCACCGTCTTGCCCAATAGTTCTCAAATTGTCTTTAGGTAAGAATACTAGTACTCACACAGTATGGCACTGGTGCCTGGATGCCCAATCTGCTGTGCTCCATGCAGAAGAAGAGTGAAACCTTGTGGGGAAAAAATATCAAAAATAAATAAAAATGAAACGAAAGAAGACCTGCTCAGTGGAATAGGTATGTGCTCTTCATTCCAGGAAGGATGATCACATCGATTGTGTATACATTGGCTCATCACCCCTTTACATTGCTGCTACCTTACCCTTGTTTTGTCATACACTGGATGTACAAAGGAACAGCCGTACCGTCCCTACATGCATGGAGAGATGCAAAAGAGGGAGGGAAAGGAGCTAGGGAGGAGGAAGGTATTTTCTAATCTTACATCAATCCATGTTCTGTGTCTTCTACCTCACTCGGAGGGCAGCTTTTTTGTAGGATGCAGACTCTAGGCATTTACCGAGAATATTTTCTCTACTGAGAAGACTCAAATAAATTCTGAGCACTAAAGGTGTCATGGTGGCCTCTTGCTGGAAGTTTATGGCTTAAAGTCGGACTGGGTTAGTCGGCAGACCCTGGAAATGTGACTCTGACAAGTGCAAGCTTAACGAATTGCCGGAAGGATGGCATGGAGCGGCAAAAAGTGCTCAATCTAAGCTTTCATAGCCAATAGATCGGTTTAATGTCAGCACCACACTGGGTACCGTCGTGTAAAGGTCTGAAAAGGCCTGAAAAGGCCTAAATGATTTCTTATTGGGTACACACCCGTGACAAGATCTGCCTGCTCATTTCACAACCCCCTTGCGATAGTCAGGAGGTTTTGCGTTGCCTCCTCGCCCAAATGGCGTAATAGCATCGCAGTAGCATCTTTCTGTTGGCTAGTAGTATCCGTTGTACAAGGCTATGGAGTCCTGTATCCATACAAATGAGTACAAGTGAGCGTAAGTGAGGGTTGCGCATAGTTGATATCACCTGTAATAATAATCTGTAAAACAAATCGGACCATGTCAAACAATACTCATACTATTCCCTTGTGCCTGAAAACTGTAGCGCAGGATTTAAAATCATGGCATGACTGCCATCTTGAAGCCCCGCATGTGGCAATGGCTTCCAACTATTTAGGCTGTGACGCTTATGCACCTGCTTCTTACCCCATTTATGTCCCTTCTGCAACTGGTTGAATGTAGTATTAGGATGCTAGCACCTGGGTTTCCTTTTAATACCTGAGAGACTGTAGCATCGAACATATCCGAGATGTAAGCTCGAGATAAGCTCGCGCTTGCCATTACTAGGAAATACTCACGAGTTGATACCGCTTGTTCAGACAAGTACGATAGCTTGTAAATTCTTAATGAAACAAGGGCATAATCCTGGATCTTTGCTGCAGAAGAAACTTCTCTATTTCAGGAATATATGCCTTTCCTGCTGTCTTGAAATGTTTCAATGTGACCTCCATGCCGGTGTTGAAATTTCCTATTAGCAGGCCACGTGAACTGCACCAAATAGACAAATATATGGAAGGTAATCAGCACTCGTCGGTGTGGTCAGAGGGACTTAAAAACTTTGGAAATATCATACGGATATGACCCGTTTGAAGTTTGGTATATTTCTCGATATCTGCCGGGATTGTTGACCAAGATCTTGTGAGATGCCCTTGCCGGGGTACAGTTGTTGATTGGCTGTAAAACCTCTGAAAACCCCTTTAAACAAACATAAAACAGAGAGAGAGATATATATATATAATATTTGCCTTGCAATTATGAACTGTGCCCCATATTGACATCAATATAGATCAATATATTTTATTAAACCTTTTGAAGGCAAGATTGATGGAGGCCTCTTTGTCGGATATCAGAATAGAAAGGATGATGCAATGACTAAGAGGTTGAACCCGCAAGCAATATATCTCTAGTTGAAAAGAAGGTCTAATCTATCATTAGAAGGATAGATGAAATGAACGGGCGGTAAATGAGCCCAAACAAAATTGACCAATACTGGCAGGGATCGGCATGAGGAGATGATGCACGGTTGGCCTCAAGTTATGCGCTGTGGGATATATTTAGGTCAAGAATTTGAAGACTGATGTCAACGTGGAGAAACGACTTACCATGCTATGAAGCTTACTCCATAGGCCAGGCTCAATCGGCCCTGAGATTGCGAGTACACCATGCTTCCATATTTAAGGAAAGATTTTTTTCTAGGCTGAGTCATTACCTATTTGATTACATTTATTTTCGAAGAATATCATAGCGCTTCCATAATTACAGTGAAATTACAGACTTTTGTGCCCCGCAACTTTGAGCCGTTGAAAAGCGGTGTGCTCGGAAGCTCGAGTACGTTTGACGTCAGATGGCCGGAGCTTTTATCACGAACAAACACATACCACGTTTGTATGAAGTGCTTCGTATTTATACAGGCTAGTACCAGAACCACACCCACACACGACTCATAAGGGTAGCATGGATACATTGTAGATACTCTTTTAGCGAGATACATACTGTACTGTAGAAGGCCCGCATTAATCATGGATATCTAATGACTTGGCATGATAGAAGGAACACCTGGAGAAAAGTACTCAGGACGACTTTATTTCGGTATTGCGATCTAGGTAATACAAATACTTTTCTCCGCAAGACAAATTGCCCCGAACCTGACATCGAATCCGTGCATCGAGTGGCTAAGTTTCCACACGTGGTGTGGGACAGATCCGCACTCAAGCTGCTTTACCTACCTACAGTACAATATTCCTGGTACGTAGTTAAACGAAGCCCCAGATACATTCCGTACAGTAGGTACTCCGTAAAGCTCTAGCGTAACCTGGTTATAGCAATTTAGCAATTAATTAAAGTACTTTGATCCATCCATAGTATCAACATGATACTGACATCTCATATGAAAGGATGAATAGGCCCGATAAAATAAAAGAGAAAGGGAAAGGATGTGAGTGTATATGACAGGCTACAGCGACTATTTCAGAATAACTATATAGTCTGCAAACATCAGCGTAGGTGAACAAAAGTCCAAAATGAATATATTAGACCGCCCTGCTCTCAGAAATCTTTAAATAGATTTATTTATATCTTACTCTCATTTATCCATTGTTATGTTGTGGTTTTAGGGACTCTTCCTATGCCATCTGTTCGGATGAACTTTTGCCTCGTATCAGAGGGGTCAATGTAGTGCAGGCTACGGACCAGGAATTAATCAAACCACCTTATCTTTCACGATCTATCTCTTATTGGGGTTAGGTAAGAATCGATGGATTTTCAGAACCGCATCTTCCTCACTTGGAAGGTTCTGATTCTGTCTCGTACCCATTACTGTGTAATTATTTAATGGCTATGCAGTCTAACATTTCGTTACTGCTCAGTGACAAGTGATAGTATCTGCATTGCTGATACGCGGGCTACTGTCCAGGTCCTATTGCCCGAGTGTCTTTCCTAATCTAGAAAGGTAGCCGAAGCTCAGGTTCTCACGAGATCCGCCGACATCCTGTAACGAAAATGTAGGAGATTACTCTGACCAGAGTGAGTCTATACAATGTGAAGTACGGCTCAAAACCAACGCTTGTGGGTGGGAATAAGATCTCCTCTATAAGAGATGGTGTTGCATGTGTAGGAGTTCTTGCTATGAGTTACTATTACCTCCCACTACCGTTATCAAAATAATTCTTCCCTTTTCTGACTTTTTATTTGAAGCCACCTAAGAACTAAATAGTAGAACTAGTAATCCTTCTGTAAGCGTGCTAATGCGGAATTCGTAAAAACGGACCGACGTTCCTTGGAAACCAATGAGGGTGGCTGGTAGGCTTGTCACTGACAGGGTTAAATCCCGAGGGCGATTCGCCGGCTCTGGGTTGCACATGATGTGCGTCACAGAAATTCGGGATGACCGGATTTACACCGGGCATACAAGAAGGTGATTAAAGAGAGAGGGTAAAAATAAAAATAAAAATACCAAATAGAAAGAAAACAAAAATTACCTTGATTCAATTTTATTGCTGCATATATCTTAATGGAATGATCGATACTTAGTAGAAATGACACAGTGGTGGCATGTACTCCGTAGTGAATGTTTGATGAAATATTAGTTCATGGTGAGTATACTAGATACGGAGTAGTACTAAATAGTAGAGAACCCATCCATAATCATCAGAATCATGGATTCCATATTTCTATCTTACATAAACCAAATCAAAGAAAAGTGGGGCCAAGCACGGTGACAATACGGAACCGTACGGGGCCACCTATGAATCGGTCGGTTGGTCTGATTGCCTCGCCGCCTCGACCGCTAAACGAGCCGCCGAGCCAGTCAGCTCGTCAGTGAACGCGTCCGGTACAAATGCCCCATCGCTCGCCCCTTCTCGTCGCTGCGGCTTTCTCTCTCTGCTTCCTCTCGTTGGTCATCCAGCCATCTCCAGTCCCTGCGTGCCCTCCAGTCATCAACTTAACTGGCCGCACAGAACCCATTGGCCATCTGCCATTTTCTTTTTTTTCCTACTCGTTCACGCTGGGGTTGGCTTCTGATCACTGATCCTTTCGTCCAACCCAATCGTTGTTTTCTTGCCCACCCCCCATCTCTTTTCTCCTCGTGATTGATCACTCCCGATCATTCTCATTTCGAAATTTCCACGGTTGTGGTCGAATCATCGTCCGTAGGTACGTGGAATATTGCTTGCCCCTTGCTCAACATCGTGTGGTTTTGTTTTGACTTGACTCCATTTTGTTTTATCTTATCATTTTCATGCTTGATCCTGCTTTATGATCTGAGCACCTTATTCTGGTCTGCACCCAATCCCATTACACTGTCCTTCTTCCCGAGGTCAACTCCGACAAATCCCATCACTTTCTGCGCCTGTTGTATTCTCCAACTACCGCGCGCCCATTCTTCTCCCTCGTTGTTGGCCTTCCATCCTCCCTCATTTACACTACTGTCTTTTGTATCCCACGAATCATATTACTTTGCATCCGCCTGCAACCGTTTCCCCATACTGCTTTGTCTCCCCTACAACAACGCGCTTGCCTAGAGCCGAAAACCTGGTTCGCTTCTTGTTGGGCCGTTCACGGATCAATCCGGACCGGACTGACATCAGCGGCAGGCCACAATCGCGGCGCGGAATCAGCTTTGTGCTGCCCGCTGTCTTGTCGGTAGAGGTCGCGCTCTCCTCACCCCACGAATCATCATCCCTCCCAGAACCTCCCGTGACTGGAGGCTGTGGTCAAGTCCCATCGCGTCCCTTTTGCCTCATCACTTGGTATAGGGATACTCTTCTGCCGCCCAGGTAATTAATAGCCTCTCAATGTGACCCGTGTTGTTTTGCTCTTCACCTTAATAATGCCCAGCAAATCGCGACTGTTTTTACCTCATTATCTACCTTGTTATCCATTTGCAAAACAATGACCCGACAGCCATGTCGCATGTATTCAAAGTATATTTCATTTTTCGATTCCTGCGGGGTTCTATGCTGGCTTATGACTCCCCATGTTTATCGTCGTCGCGTTCTGCTTCTATTATGATCCCATATTCCCCACCCCATGATGGTCCAATCAACACGCGTCCGCGCTTTATTTACTTTGTTTTGCGCACAGTATTCTGACGACCCCAGTCCTCCCCATAGACGCGCAGGACCTTTTACATCGCAAACTGGAAACCAGTTTTCGAATTGTTTAGGACCGTTTGTTTACGCGCGCGCGAAATCGCCCGTTTTCCTTGCACCTAGCGGTGATTGCGTCGCATCTTGACAAGGTATGTTGCCGGCTGCATCATACTTCCCGCTTGCCAGCGCATACATCCTTCAGCCCTGAATAGACTAAACCGCCACGATATCACCCTTCCCCTCCCCCACCACTTGCACAGACTCCCTGCCATGACAGCGCACAAATCGGCAGCTGAAAATTCCAGTTGGTGGAGAAAATGAATGCTGATAGTTTTTTTGTAGTCTGATCTAGTCGTGCAGACCATCTTTTAGGTTTGTTCCGGTATAGGTCCCTTCTTGAGTCGCATTATAGTCGCGGGGACCGGAAGCTAGGATAGCTTCATCCACCTGGCGCAAAATTTTGCTAGGCCACGCTGGTAGCACCGCCTCATATCGCTATCTCCTGTTTCAGCCCCGTCTAATACCGACGTGGCCGAGGAGCCTGATCAAACAAGGATCAGAACCATATTACGGAAGGCAGCCTGCCAGTTGTCGCCTCAAACTCTGCGTAGCTTCTTTTATTTTTTATTTTTTATTTATTTTTTTTCCCCCTTATCTTTTTTCCCTGCTTCTGCCCCTCCCTTGTTTGCCCCGTGCTGGCGATAGAAGATCGTGCGTCATTAGCAAGAGCATCGCATTTCGTCTGACAACGCATCAAGTGCGACATACTGCCGAGGGCACCCTGGTTCGCTGCATTAGAGCCCAACCACGTTACACCCTGAGGTGAACGTAAAAAGGATTCGCACAAAAGACTCTTCGTCTCCAGAAATTGTTCGAAGTTATTTCGGCAAACAAGCGTTGATTTGGGTGAAGTATTTTTTTTTTCTCGCCGATAGTTGAACTCTGTATCGGCAAAACAGAACCCCAGGTAAGCGCCCCGGTGCAAGCGCCTTGTCCCCATTCAACCCCACTGGAAGATCCAGTGACCGGTCAGCGCTGCGCTCCGTGCTGACATTTAGTGAGCGCCTGCAGACTTTCGCATTTAACTCGTCGAATCATCACTTTGCAAAGAGCAGCTACTCTCCGCGGCTGTCCCTCTTGTGCGCGACCGTGATATCCCTCGAGTGCAACAGCGCTTCCACATCCTATCACCCTTCTGATCTCTTCTACCTTATTCTAAATAGGTGGCGTATATCCACCAATTGCTCACAGCCGTCGTTGTCATTGGTTCTAGATATTTCGTGCCTGACAGCTGCATCGGTCCAATCACGGGTCTCATTGGAAGCGTGACGGGAAGCGCCGTCGCGACTCCATGATGGAATATCCACCACAATATCAACAGCCTCATGGCCAACACCCCCATGCCCCCTCCCATATCGCTGCCCCTTATCAGGCCGGACCCCAGAACCCAGGCTCAACGGTGGCTTCGATGACCTCTCCCACCAATCCCCAGGCACATATGCAGCAAGCCCATCCTACGCATCAGGCTTCTCCCATTGTCTCATCGCAGTCTCATTATCAACAGGCACAGAATGCGCCGGGCTCAGTACACCAGCAGATGAACTTCCCTCAATCCTACGGGGTAACTACAGCGATGCCCCAGACGTACGGCATCTCGCCAACACAGGCAGCGGCTATGGCTACTGCGGCAGCGTCTGGGCAATTCTACCCTCTGCATCAGGACTCAATGGCGGGCCAAATGCCCCAAGGGCCTCGTGGCTCGCCGCGTATGGCTGGAGTTCAACAGGTGAAGAATGAGCGGAATCCACGCTCGCCGCCGCAAATGCCAGGGCAAATGCCTTCCATGGGTTCGCAAGTACAGATGCAGCAGAATGCTCAGATGCAACAGCGTCGCATGAGCCATGTTGGCAGCCCCCATGTTCAAACTGCTCAGCCGGTCCTTAATCACGTTGGTCGGCCTTCAGTACCTCCACCTATGCCGCCTCCGCCTCAGCCTGCGGTGCAACAAAGTCAACCTTCCCCAGAGATGACTGTTGGCGCCGTGGAGGAGTCTCCTCTTTACGTTAATGCAAAGCAATTCCACCGCATTTTGAAACGACGCGTTGCTAGGCAAAAATTGGAGGAACAACTCCGACTCACGTCCAAGGGCCGTAAGCCATATCTGCATGAGTCGCGTCACAATCATGCTATGCGGCGGCCACGGGGTCCGGGCGGTCGATTCCTGACGGCAGACGAAGTCGCTAACCTGGAGAAGAAGAATACCGCGGGTGGACAAGAGAATGTCGATAGCAAGCCGACCGGTGAGAATCCTCCGTCGGCACAGAAAAGAAAATCTAGTGATGTTAACGATGAGAACACGAACTCAGCGAAGAAGGCGAAAACTAGCGTTGCGAAAACGAGCACCAGCGCTGAGGAGAGCGAACATGAATCCGCCGAACCATCCGATGAGGATGGTTGAAAAATATGTCAAGGCAAATATTGCTTTTCATATTATTAGCGCGTCTTTGTCCGCTTTTGATTTTCTTTCATTTCGTACCTATTCATCCTTACGATTTTATGGATGAATTTATTTATGTTTTCTTTTGTAGCGAGCGATGTGTGACAATTCACCTATCACGTTTCTACCACCATTATCCGACAGCAACCAGTGTTATGTCTGTTTATATCTTATGTTATGTTGGTACGAAGTTTCCTATTGTTTTCCAAAGAAACCTGTTTATTTCTACTTTACCGGGAACGCATGTATGGAATGAATGTTTTGATGGCCCTCTCACTTTTGTTACTGTTTTTCTTGGTTTTCTTTTCCTATCTGCACCATTCCGAATTCTTGAGATGGTCAAACTCTTGGATGATCTATGATGCCCAACACGTCATACCTTTAGCTATATGCCGAATTCAGCCTTACTCAGATTGATCGACCTGCTCCTGAAGGTTGATTATGAGATGAGTTGTGGGCCCAGATATTACTATGATGCAGTTTCGTGGAAGTTGGAATTGTTCCAATGCCATTAAATTTTGCCGCACACTGCAGTCATCATCATTGCTTTTCTCCCTCGACCTGTCCCCGCCTTTTGAATCCTCTCTACTCGGCTTCTGGGTGGGACCTAGAGAGGAGTCGAACATTGGTAAAGATTACTCCACAGGGAATCTTGCGGCGAAGCAAGAAACAGATTGGCGTTTCTTAATAGTGTCGTACAAGGGACGCGATCTGTGAGTCTTTAAAGCACCGCTGTGGATTGCTTGCCTACAGTGAGCTTTATTTGGTTATGGTGTGATGAAGGCATGGGAATAAACCCCCCTCCCTTTTCCCCCCAATAGAAAAGCCGAAAGAAGAAAACAGGAAGAGGGAAAAGGAAGAAGATCTAAAGGTGGTTGAGCATCGCGTCCGTTGTCGGTTCTCCTTCGCTTCCGCTTCCTTGTTCTGTGATCTTTTCTTTTCTTTTTACTATTTTCCTCCTTTCATCCTTTCATGGGGTATTTGTATTGTTCTCATGTGATTTTGACGGATGATTCCCCCCTAGTCGTGTACAAATATCAAGACATACTTCTCGGCATTGCTAGCTTGGGTGTTTGGGTCAACAACTCGGCACTGAGCAAATAGCTGTCTTGTGAATACAAATTAGAATAAGTAGATTTGAACCATCGAGATTGACTTACGGAAACCATACGTTGTGGTACATGTAAGAGCTCTTCAGATAAAACCCATTATGTCAATCAGATATCGAACCATCCCAGCCGACACACGTCTAACCTCTTCTGGTTTAGGCGCGGCTCTCCTCCAACTTTTCGTCTCCAGCCTCATGTGATTAGTCATTCTCATTCCATTCCTCACTCGCCTTCAGCTCCCAGCTTTCCGCTTCCTCTCCCCAACTGTCCGGCCCTATCCCCCGGTTCAGCCATCTCGTTCCCATTTGAGTCCGTTGGATTGGACGTGATCAGGGATTATTCGCATCTGGTTGTATCAAATCCATCCATCCTTCTTCATAAGGCTTCTTGTAGGTCGCCTGTCTAGCCCTCTTTATCGTGTTCACTGCAGTCACCACCGCCCTTGTCTCTCATCTAACCCCCTTTCCCTGCTTAATCTTGTGACTCTATCAAAACATCACCGCCTCATCTTAACTTAGACCAATCCTTGACACCTACTCCGCTCACTGCTCTTTTCTCCTACATTCTGAAGTCGTCGGTTTATTCGTCGCGCCCTCATTGGCCCACGAGACCTTCTGTGCTTCTTGCAATTTGTGCACCCGTCTCTTTATCCTCTTTCTCTAGCTCTCGCGAGCGCGCTGCTTTCTTATATTTCGTTTTTTTCGGGTCAATTCTTGTCATTATATGAGAAACAAAATGCCTTTCCTGCATCCATTTTTTCGCTTGTCGGGCTTCAGCTCCAGCTTCATCGTTTTTCAGCACATCCCGTTTCTTTACCCTTCGTCAACGCCCAAGCTGCCAGACACCCCTGTGAAATGAAATGATCTGCTCTAATGTTAATGGTCTGCGGTCTTAGCTTACGTTTACGGTTCCCAACGTCTCTGCGAACATTCCGGGTGCCCGACTACGCTTGATCGACCTATTAATCGGCATCCGTATCGCATATTGTTTTGGCCGTGATCTCAGATTGGACTCGCGGGTTCTAATACAGCGACCTGTGATTTCTATTTTTCTTCCAGATGGATTCTTATGATGGTTATGGGTCTCCCGGAAGGGCCCGTGAAGGGGACCCTTACGCATCTAGGGCGCCAGTTGATTCTTACAGACGCAGGACACCTAGTAAGTAGCTAGTGGACCAATTCTCGCTTCATAGTAACATTGCATAACCTCGAAGCTGTTGTAGCGTCTCAGGACCGTCGTCGTGGACGTGGCCGTTCCCGCTCGCCTGCTATGATTGACCGTTATGAACCCTCTGATCGACGGGCTTCCCGAGATGACTATTACACCGCATCCCGTGAACACACTACACGAGATCGTGATGAGCGTCGCCGTGCTCATTCCCCGAATGTTGCGAATATCGATCGTTACGTCCCTGGACAAGACTCGGGGAAGCGACCAATTCCAACCAATCCGCTCCCCAATCCCTTGAATCTCGATTTCCAAGTCGGGTTTAACTGGTTTGCGGAGTGGTGGCGCGCCGAACAGTCGATCAAGGAGGAAAAGGAGCGTGCAAAACATGGCGGACGTCGCCCCTCGGATCGTGTCAAGGGAGAGCGCGAAGCTCGCGAAGACCGGGAAAAGGAGAGGGCGCAGATCCAGGCCGCTTATGATGCCTACAAGGTAGATCTCCAGATCAAGATGGCCAGGACATTTGTGCAGCAACATCGAAACGAGGAATGGTTCAAAGAACGTTATGTCCCACAAGTCCGGGACTCCCTCCGTCGTCGCCTGATGGACTTCCGCACCGGTGCTTACGAACAATGGGAGCATGATCTAGATGGTGGGTTGTTTGATGAATTTACCCTAGAGGGCATCTATAAAAGTGAAAGCGACGGAGCGGGTGGCGTCATTGAGAAGGAAGAAGGTGAAACCACGGCTGTTGGTGAGACTCTTGGTGTTTTGGACTTGCTCCCAACCCGGGGTGGAGAGCTTCGGGATGAAGCTCTATCTCAACCAGCCTTACTCATCAAGACTTTAGCACCAAATGTGAGTCGTGACAAGATAGAGGACTTCTGTAGAGAGCATTTGGGAGAGCAAGAAGGTGGATTTAAATGGCTCAGTCTCAGCGATCCAAATCCTTCCAAAAAGTACCATCGGATGGGTTGGATTATGTTGCATCCTGCGCCGGATGTTGCCGTCGTCGAGAGAGGGGATGGAAGGGAAGAAGAGGGTGAGGATATGGAGCACGACAAGGCTGCCAATGGAGCTGTGAGCGTGACTGCCGCTGAAAAGGCACTTGAAGCGATCAATGACAAAACTATACATGACCCAGTCCATGGAGACTTTGTTTGTCATGTTGGCGTCCATGTACCACCGTCCCAACCCCGCAAAAAGGCATTATGGGACTTGTTCTCAGCTCCGGAGCGTATTGAGCGGGACTTGGAGTTGGCCCGGCGTTTGGTATCAAGACTTGATTCAGAGATGGGCGGAAATGCAGACGGTTATACCAAGATCGAAGAACGCGTGGAAGAACTACGTGGAAAGGGATGGTTGCAACCACCTGTCACAGGCCCTGTTAGTGTGAAGAAAAGAAGAGCTGAATATGACGCGGACGATATGGATGAGGGCGAAGCAGAAGAAGGTGAGGAACAGGAAGGCTGGGAAGATGACGAAGTGGATGACGAGGAACTCCTCGCGAAGAAAAAGAAATTGGACCTGATGGTAGAATACCTACGTAGGGTCTATAATTTCTGCTTCTTCTGCGTTTTTGAGAGCGATTCAGTTCATGAACTTGCTCGAAAGTGCCCCGGCGGCCATCTTCGGCGGCCACGTGCTGGCCTCACTACACAGTCCAAAGCTGTAGCTCGAGCGAGCGCCCTCGGTCAGCCTTTCCCTTCTAAGAAGAAGGAACCGAGCGAAGAAGGAGAAGAACAGCCACCCGTCGAGGAAAAACGACCACAACGTTTCAGTTCGAAGTCAGAGCAACAGCTACAGCGCGCATTCAACTGGGTTAAAACATTCGAGGATAAACTTTTACAGCTTCTGGAACCGGAAAACGTGGATATTCGGAAGCTGGGCGGCAAACCTGTCGATGAGGCGCTGGAAGAAGAATTAGCGAAGCACGTCAAGCAGGAGGACGAATCCAAATACCGTTGCAAGGTACCTGAATGCACCAAGTTGTTCAAGGCGGACCATTTCTGGCGCAAACACGTGGAAAAGCGTCATGCAGAATGGTTCGAGAATATCAGCAGTGACGTAAGTTCTAGGTTCTGAGACCTCAATGCGATGCTAGACTAATCATGTGACAGCTCTCTTTGGTGAATGCCTATGTGCTGGACCCTGCTCGTATTGCGCCCTCTCGCTCTGATGCAAACAGCAATGGCCATTTTCCTCTCAGCTCTGGTCAAAGCCAAGCTGGCACTCCTCGTGGCTTTAGCCTGGCTTCCATGCCGCCGTACATCGGACATAATGGCAATGTCCCTGGTGGTTTCCAGAATTTGCCAGGGGCCGGGTTGCCCAGTATGATGGGGGTCCCGAATCAAGCTGGTTCTTGGAGTGGGAATGGGTTGGTCTCCGGGGATCACTCTGGCCTGCACCAGCCGGGTGCCATGCGTCGTAATAACCGTTACAATCGTTCAGGACCATATGATCGTCGTGGACCTCGACATGGCGGTGCAGGAAACGGCCGTCTGAGCCCAGTTCGCGGTATGTCGGGCATGTATGGTTCTGGTGGTCGTCTTCCAGCTAACGCTGGCACCCCGTACATTCCCCCTGGCCATCCAGCCGCTGCGGCTTTTGCTGGGGCGGGAGGTTTTGCTGATGCTATGGGAGCTGGCACTGCCCAACAAGCGATGGGCCCCCGGGAAGCTGTTCAGGGTCGCAGTCTTAAGAGTTATGAGGACCTTGATGCGGTTGGTGGAGCCGGAAGCGGCGAATTGAACTATTGAGTACAAGAACTCTCATAAACTCTCCTTTATTAAATTTCGTTTCTTTGAACTACGGCGTCAACAGGTTTTTGTGTCTGCATTTCGTTGATTCAGGCTGACATATTGGGTTCAGTATCTCTGCGCTTTTCTTGTTCACCATATTTGGTTTCATCACAGCACACTGAATTTCTTTTTCCTATCCCGTCTTCTGGTCGCTGGTGCGTTGCATAGTCGTGAGTGATGGATTGAACTCCATAGCTTGCGACAACACTGTACTTGCCAAACTCTGTCATTCCCAAACTTGCTCGAGGTCTAAAACATGGTGGTACCTACTTCGAAATTTGCAACTTTGTTTCTGTTTTCTCTGCTTTCCTTTTTATTGTACTATAGTTTTCTCTTTAAACCAAAGTAACAGGGGTCAATGAACTACTCTTTCTACTTACGCCGTCTACGTGACAAGTCTTACTGTAACCGCTTGGCTCTCAATATTGTACTTCAGAGCGGACAGCGATTTTGTATATGGCAGAATAATGTGTGCCCCGCTAGATATCTTCATTGCACCCGATATATCCATATTACTTTCGCTATATGTCGTTATATGTACAAGTGGTGTCGCTCAGAATGGGTCGCCATCAAGTTCGTGTACTATGTGCTGCCAATTACTTTATCATATCAGGGCATCTGGATAACTACGTCGTCCCGACTATCCCGCCACTGAGCGCCCATCTTGCGAATCTGGCGCTCGCTAGCCAGGAACAGGAGGAGATATATATGAGAGGCTATTTCGCCCCATGCATAGGTTTTGAGAGTCAGCTGACGGATATCCATTCCGCGTAGCGCTGACTCTTGAGTATTGTGTGGTAGTTGGGCAATCGGCAAATCTTCTAGTATGCACCATACTCCCCAGCCTGCACGGCCTTCTTTGACGAACTCCGACAAGAATGACCAGAAGCGACAGAACATGGACATGTCCCAAATGTAAGCTCCGTTGCTTTCCTGCCAAGGGATAATGGAATCATGCGCCCCCGCCTCCACGACGTTAATGAAGAGATACCAATGTCCTCTTTCTAATTTGTCTAGCTCTCTAGTCTGTTCGAGAGGTCTGTATGTCCGGCTCTTCAGACGAGCGGCTAGCATTTTTAAAGTTGGTGTGATATGTGTTGTGAACTCTTCTTTTGATATGGGAGGTGGTGGGGGTCTGATTACCACGGGAACAGGAAATGTTGTGCCAACGAATGTCGACAGAGCTGTGGACTGAGCAGTGGAATCACCGAGCTGAGTGGCATTAGCTTCGTCGTTTGTGCACGGGCTATGACGCAGTTTCTTTCGACCACTTATGACCGGCGACGAATCTTTTTGATATCGTTTTGCACAAGTTATATTTGCAGGGCATGGGGAGCTCTGAGTTCGAATAGTAGATAGATGACGGTCGACATCCTGCAGGTTGTCGGTGTCCGAAGATGGTCTTCCAGGTTGAGAATCCGGAATGACACTCACTGGAGTATCGAGGTAGACTTTTGGGGAACAATCATGTGACTGGTAATTAGGCAGTTCATGCTCCTCGTACCCGATGGTTTTATTAGATATAACAATGCCCGAATTATTGGAGGTATCATTAGTAGGAATCACGGGTTCTTGGAGTGGCGTGTTGTTGGATGGTAACTGGAGCCGGGAGAGTCCATCGCTAGTAGCGGTAGAGGTGGTATAATCATGGTCATTATTGTTGTCGTCCGGTTTCAAAGTTAGAACTTGGCGTGAAACACTCTGGAAGCTGAGAATAGCTTCAACCTGAGCACGGTAGTGAGCGTCGTCGCTCACCCCGCACGGCGCTGAGATGTGGACGAGGATCTCCGAACTTTCCATGACATCAGTGGATAAGGCGACTGCAACATGGTGGAGTGATCTCTTTCACATTCTTTATTTTAGAAAAATCCTGCAGGAAGTTTCATTGACATTGTGGTAGTTTAGTGGAAGATCGCCAAAAGCAATGATAATGGATTGTGAAGAAAAGAGAAAGAAGGCCTAAAGGAGTATAGCTCAGTTCAAGTCATGCGGAAGTGGGGTGACTTCTCAAGATGGCAAAATGCCAACTTTGGGTTTGAGATCAGCATCAATAGTTCAATAACATTGGATCCTCCCAGCCCTCATCTCGATCTCTTGCCTAGCTCTCCGTGGCGATTCGGCTGCCAGGAACCATCGACACTATGATTTTCATTGTTGGTACCAGCATCTTGGTCACGCTCTCGGGAGTCAGCGTCGAGTTGTCGACACCAGGGAGATCCCCATCTAAACGTGCCCTTGTTTACTCCATGTGATCTACGCAAGACCTAAAATAAAGGGGGTATTGAGGAGAAAATGAATGAAGGAAAAAAAAAGAGTTACGAGCCGGTCCTCCATTCCGTCGTTACCGATTACGCAGATACTCTATTTTTTTTTTTCTTTGGCAGGGTGCACTGGTGCTACTACGTCCAAGTGCAGAGTATAGTACACATTGGAGCCCCAGTTAAAATTTCCGCCCTGACAAGGATAGATACGAAGCCGCGACGAAGTGTGTCTAGGTAGGGTGCGACGAATGTCAATTGGATGACATGACATAGGGGTCCCGAGGTGACACATTCTCTTGAATGATGGGTACAGAATACAGACAATGCTTGGGAAGTACTCAAGAAGTCTGGCAAAGGCCATGCGTGTCATGTAAATATGTACAACTGGTACATACAACTGCTGTGCGCGACTAGATTACTCGGCACGAGAAAGTTCTATTTTTTTTTTTTTCGTTTCTTGTTATTCCCCCTATGGCTGGTTACTGGTACCACTTGAGTCGACGGAAAGAGCGTTGGGGATCCCGGCGAGAGACCCATCTTTACCCACTTGGTACCATACCGGCACCAAAAATTCCCAAGCTCTCAATGGCCCTAATGATACGATGGGGCTCATCAATCGAAACACTTGAAAGAGACAGAATGACCAGTCCAATCGCCGATACTTCGTACCCTTTTGCCTCGATACATCGAAGGCAACCGTTGCCCCAAAGCTAAAAAGAGAATGAGATATTGGATATTTCACATAAGGGTGACCATTTCATTCGCCCGTCTTGCATACAATACATCTACGATTAATATTGAGGGGCGGTTTCACCATCAGCAGGGTAGCAATCACGAGAAGGTGGCGGGTGCAACTCCCATCGTTCGGGGAATTCGATTGGTATAGAGGCGATGATTGATTCGTGACAACTTTTAGTCTTGACTTATGTATCGAATGTGGCTGTCGAGCGCTCTACAGGTAAATACCTAGTCAATATTTCACTAGAGAGGGAGGGACGTTACCCTATACATCCTTGCAGGGAGTCTCAGGAGAAGTTTCCCCGAGTCCAAAAAGGGAGCGAATGAGATATGAGGAAAAAAAATTAAAAAAAAAAAAGAAAGAAAGAAAGAGAGAAAAGAAAGGGAGAGATCTCCACGACGAGATCGATGCTCTTTTCGGGCTTCATAGTGCATGGTTGAGTCCGGTTTTACCCTCCACGGGTGGATGCATTCTTGCTTTCTTTTTTTTTCTTTGGAACAGAGTCTTCCAATCAATTCAGCCGATCGCAAATGTGGGTATTACACCAGTACATTGAACTACCTGAGTATGTACGGAGTACTACAATACCTTACCTGAAACGAAATCCGATCTTTTCAACACGTAGTCTATCTCTGATCCGAGTGGCAGGAGAGCTACTAGAACCAAACCCAAGAAGGATTAGTGAGAATTCATTCATTCCCTTCTCTCTATCCGTATCTCTGAGACTAACTTATTTCATGATTATTTTTTTTCCCCCGGAGGGTCACCACCCTTTCAGAATATTGATCGACTTATTAATTTTCCTCTTTGCTAGTACACTATCGAATATCTTAAGCGACATGTACTAAAAAAAGGACTTTTATTTAATTATATTTTATTTTAAATTTTCTCATTTAAGCACTCCCAAGTCGAAAGGGACGGCGATTCGGCTTTATTCGTTGTTTCAGGAGCCGAAGAAAGAAAGACAACGGATCTTCTTCCATCCAGCTTGCGCAAAGACCAAGCCAAACTGGGGCCGCTGAAGAACGGGTGACCAGAACCATTGAACCAATAAGCCAGCACTCTACCAGTAGAAATCGAGCCCGCTTGACAGGGACTCCAAGTCGAATTGTACTGCGGTCGCTACCACCGATTTCTTAGCCTTCATCCACACTGTCAACTGACGGATGGTACCTTGTCCCACATCCTCTCTGTTTGTGCGTCTCGATTTCTTACGCTTCTTCCCTCCCTTCCCCCCCCACCCCCCACATCCCTTTTAGAGCTCTTAGTACCTTTACATCTCTCTTTCCTCTATCGTCCTTTCATGGTGCGAGTAGGACTCCCATGGTTATAGCTCGTGTCTAAACTCAATTCACAGTTGAACGCCTAGGGGGGAAGCAATCAGGCCTACCCACTGCGTATAGATGTATGTACATACTTACCACCAACGGTAAGGGCGCTTGGACGAAGCGAATCCACTTTATCGAGAGTAGTTCGTTTCAAGGCTGACAACGGTCGCAGATGTTCATGACTGTCACAATAATAACCTAGCCTCTAGACTCATTCAGATCCTAATCCACTGGACCCGTCCGTTCCTTTCTACCGGTGTCTTTTCCCTTGTCTTCACGCCGGTCGCATTCCACATCACTTTTCCCTTCTCACACACACTCCCAACATCATGGCTTCCCTGAATGAAGGAGTCTTGCCTTTGGATGCAGATGCGTTAAATCGGCACAATGATGAACTCAATGGTAAGTGCCTGATGCAGTAGATATCGCATTTATGGCTTGTTATTATCTATGTGGTTGAAAAATAATCCTGAGGTTTTCCGGAGCTCTGCTGTCGCTCTTAACTCAGCTCCATGATTATATGCTCTCTCACTATATTTTCTTTGTTTTCTTCTTCTTCTCTCTCTCGCTCTCTCTCTCGCATTTCGACACAGCAGACACGACTTTACCTAGCGATCATTGGGTTCTAGTTGCGTTTCGTCGTTGTTTGGTCACTGACTCGAGACCATGATAGGCCGGCAATCACAAGGCAGTTTAATGAAGGCGTCCATGGGAACAGAATGGTTTAAGTTTTTCGGAGGTGGACAAAAAAAGGTTACACGAGGTATGCGCCTTGCTTCCTTGGTCTCTAATAGGGTACTGACCTCTGCCGATCCAGATGGTCAACCACCAAAACGACGGGGCCCTAAACCAGATAGTAAGCCGGCCCTTACAAGGCGCCAGGAATTGAATCGTCAGGCGCAAAGGTATGTCGACAATGCGGACTCGGCCTCGTGATTATATACCAACCGTGGCGGTTTAGGACACATCGCGAACGCAAGGAACAGTATATGCGAGCGCTAGAGACTGAAGTCTCGCGATTACGAGAGGCCTACACAGAAGAGATATCTGCGGCGAATTTGACTGTCCACAAACATCGAGAGAGGGTCCAATCATTATCCGAGGAGAACAACATATTGAAAGAAATTCTAGCCGCACATGGCATCAACTATGAAGCGGAGGTGGCACGTCGCAAAGCAGAACGCACGAGTCCAATAAACGCAACGTATCAGTCTAGTCCTTTTGCCAGTAGCAGTGTTGGATCGCAGCCTGCAGCTGCCGCGCAGTCAGCGCCATCAACTCACCACGCTTACACGACGCCACCCACGACCATATCAGCCCCGTCTTCTAGTCTAAGTCCTATTGTAAACGGGATAGAACACATCGACGTCTCACCAACTCAAGAGTTATCGCCTCAGCATAAAACTTACAGCGCTGCTCCCTGCGATGCCTTGGCAACTCTTGACTGGATAGCACCAGCGAGTCGCCAGCCTAATCAGCCACCGGGTATCTTTGAGAATGATCCTCAACTGCAAATTGACTTTATTCTGACGTACGCTTCCCCTCACTTCTGGTTTTTCTGCTGGTTTTCCGCTCCTCCATAACTGATCAATTAATAGGCTGGAATCACCATGTCGCGAACATACCGACTACCTTTGTCGAAGATCTATTACCGAGGCCGATGACGAGAATATGCCTTTCTCCGGACACGCATTAATGGCTTCCTGTCCGCCACCCAGTTACATTGCCAACACAACCCACGAACAAGCCTACCCACATCAGACATATGATCTGCCACATGCCAATCTGACAACACTGCTCAACCTGAGTCGACAGCTTGTGACCGATGGCCAAATTACACCAATCATGGCCCTCCAATGGTTAAAAAACCATGAAATGTATCGCTCGTTGACCAGAGATGACATAAAGGTTGTAATCGAGACGCTCAACACCAAAGTTAGGTGTTATGGGTTTGGAGCGGTGGTGGAAGACTTCGAGCTTATGGACTGTCTGAGCAGTGTCATCGGGTCCAGGGTCGACATGGGATTCTCCCGCGCCGGCGATGACACGCTGTATTCATAATACCATGACATGAGGAGTTATAGTGCTTTTACCCCAGGCTTTGGGTGGGTGGTGGGGGTGTATATAGAAGCTTCGTGAACATTGTTTTCTTTCGGCTACGATTTGCCGATGCATTGATGTGGCACCTTGGTGTATATCATCCTTCTGTTGTTTGTCTCTCGGCGCTGGCTGAGAATTTTTCTCCTCGTTTCATCTTGTAATTTTTTGGGTCATTAAAAATGGCAGCTGTTTTCCTACAGTTAGGCATGATTACGGTGTGGCTTGGTAGGCAGCGCAGTGTTCTGGACGTGACATTACCCAAGCAATCGTATATACTTATGCATAAGAGATTGGACAGTATCAACTCTATAATCACACAGAAAAATCATCCTCAATTCCTATATCCCGCGCCACGTCCCTCGCTAAGTCTCTAAAATCCTCCCCATTCCGAATCCTCCCCACGATATGCCAAACTAGATCCTCCGATCCCAACCTCAGAGCCGAGTACACAATTTCCATAGCAGCGGCCTCCTCCTCTTCGAGATCATCGAATGATGACTGATAGGCCAAACGCTGCGCTATTTGTTCCCGTATTTGGTTCACCTTGCCCCTGAGCACGGTGATCATTTCTGCCTGCGCGATCGCCTGTCGATCTTCATTCGGAGCACTATATTTGCATTCCTCTTGGATCCCTCGTGTAATGCAGGCTTCACACGGAGAGAGGCGATTACACTACGGAACGTCGGTAAGTGGACGCCAAGGTATATTGGTTGGGGGGTAAGGGGGAGGGGGCGAGAAAGGATACGGCATCGTATCTAAAACAAAACAACATACCTTCACTTTGCGAGTTCGACATGGGTGACATGAGGCCGTTGCCCGGGGTTTGGATTTGTGGCTCGTTCCTACGTCCATAGTACTTTCTATCGTTCTATTTTTGGCTTTTCTTCAAAAAGACAATATTCCAAGTTGTCATTGCTTGAGTAAAAAGGGACCGGTGGGGGGGTTTAGTGGTAAATGCATGCAGCAAGTAATCTCTCCATTCTACGAAATAAGCTCGATCGATAGATAGTCAGACAGATCACCGCCGTTGTTCCCGTGAAGGATGATGACTAAGACGGTATTGGGCGTTTCGGGGCTTTGTTTTGGCCTTTTATTCTCCGAATCAGTTTTTTTGTTTCGGGGAGGGTTCGTTTTATTTTCCGGGTTCAGTTGGGAAAATTCCCTAGCTTTTGGCATTTGGATGTATCCTTTGTCCCTTTCTTTCTTACCTTCCCCCCCACTTTTTTTTTTTTTGCTTACTCTGTATGTACTCGAACAGACTGTCCGTGTATCAATCGTCGCCGGCCCAATGTATCAACCATGATGTATATAGATAGCCCAGGATGGGATGAAATGATCGTGAAACGTTCACACTCCATAGACTAGTTACCCTGCTTTGTGAATTCCGTGCTACCTGTCTAACAAGTGGGTTTCATGATGGTTGCTGTACTACACAGTGCGTATGTTACCAGATTATCGCCATGTTGCGACAGGTGAAACAACAGCGGTAGCATCTCGTCTACTTCTTGCTACTGGACGGTTCTAGATTGGAGAGTCTTAAGTGCGCTCTTTATTTTGGGGTCCAGTGAGAATAAGGCATTCACGAAATGGTTGACGGGCAGTGAGATATTGTCGAGAGCACAGTGATCATACTTCCGAGAAACGGTAGGTATTATGAATACGGGCTGTAGTTTGGAGAGCAAACCCTTCTAGAGACGCTGGAAAGTCATCAAATGCGTTAAGGACATCAACGGCCATGTTCATAGCTCTAAAAGACTTTTGAATATGTTCACCAAATATTATCCGGGAATTCGAAATAAAATCATGACATTATGATATCATGGCAGGAATAAACTCAATCATAAGCAATTTACTCCTCGTCCTCTTCGGCCTTCTGCTCTTCTTCCTCAGCGGCAGCCTCCTCATCTTCCTCGAACGTATTGGCTGGCACGCTGTAGAGACGGAGAACGGGACGGTTGGGGTCCTTGATGAGAACGTACTTCTTAACCTTCTCCTCGTCCTCCTCGGCGTCCAGGGCGCGGATACGGTCGACAATGGTGCGCACGATACCCCATCCGTTGCCCAGGTTCAGGTTCATCTGAGCGGCGAGATCACGAGGCTTGTAGCCAACAACACCGAGGACAACGTGACCAGCGGCGGAGCGGGGGTTAGCACGGGAGACGAAACCGAGCTTCATGCCATCCGCCTTAGCAAGGACGGCCTGGGTAGTCCAGCGGGCAAGTTTAAGGCTGTTGTTCTTCATCTCAGTGGCAACAACGGCACCGCGCTGCGACCAAAGCTTGCTGCGCCAGTCCAGAGCATTACCGGAGCCCTGGGCCTTGCTGTCGAACTCATTCAGGGCCTTGACGATCAGCTGCTGGTCTTCGCCGTTGACGGGGTTCTTCAGGAGGGCGTCGACTTCAGTACGGACAACCATGTTCAAAGGCTCCTCGTCACGCTCCAAGGAGAGATCGAAGCGGCGGTACTTGTAGGCCTTGGAGGCAAGAGGCTCGGTCTCCTCTGAAGCATTGTAGAAGGGGTTGGCGTTCTTCATATCCAGCTTGGCATCCTGGGACTCGGCGACGGTTTGCAGGGCAAAGTTGTGGTTGATGAAAGTGGCTTCCATAGCAAGAGCGCTGGGAGTGTTGATGGACTCCTGCTTAGCCGAAGATTCGGCGAGCTCGAGAGGAGCGTCAATCGCATTTTCATTGACGGTTACCAAGTCGAGCGAGGCACCCTCACGCTTGTCGAAGTAGATCTTGTTGCCCTGGTGCACGATAACAATATCCCAAGAGTAGACACTGCGAGGAGCACACATAAGCATAGACAGGATATCGGAGGTAGCGAAAACGGTGGCTGAGTCCTTCTCGGCGAGCTCCTGGATGACAGGGTCCTGGGAGGTAGTAACGTTGTAGGCAGCACGGTCAAGAGACTGCAGTCTACGCTCAGCGCCCTTAACAGGGGCCTTGTCGTAAGACCGGTCGTAGTAGTAGAGGAAACCATACGAGTCGATGTCCTCGCCATCGGGGGTCTCTAGGTTCAGCTTCAGCAGACGGCTGAAGTCCACTTCCTCCAGCATAGTCCAGTCGGGGCGCACGTTGACGGACGGCTCACGAGTCCTCTGCGGCTTATCGTAGTCCTTCCATCCGAAGCGACGTCCACGGTTGCTGCGGCCGGCGCGGTTGTCGTAGAAGCGATCACCCTGACCACGGCCAGCACCAACACGCTGGAAGCCAGCACGGCCACCTCTCTGGCCCGCGCCACGCTGAGCGCGGCCGCGGAAGACGGTGCCACCACCACGGCCAAAGGTACGCTTGGCGGAGGTACGAGTGTTGTCAACGACCGAGAAGGAAGATTCATCTTCAGCAGCCTGGATGCTGAACAGGTTGGAGGAACCGGCTCCGTACACTTGCTGGTCTGTTGATGATTGGTATGTTAGCTGTGGACCCGTATTTAACTATCTTAATCAACTCGTACCCCTGAAATTGCGGTTGTAAGCCTGACGACCGGTTCTTTGGTCCTTGGACTCGGCAGTCCAGTCGGCCATGCGACCCAATTTATCACCCTTGGAGAAGGGAGCGTATGGGACACCCTCAAGCATATTGTCGCTCGAGGTCGCGGGGCCCCAGGTGTCCTCCGCTGGCAGGGCCGCCACAATGTCGGCGATGGAAATGGGTGCCATGATGTCTGGAGATACTAATAGAACCAGAAATCGATTTCAGAACAACAAAGATATCTCCGCGCAGACGTCAGGGTATCTCGGCGGATGGTGAGATCACAAGCGGCGGAGAAATTGATAATTGCGGGTTGAGTTTTTGTGTCGCGAGTGGGCTTGTGGCTAGAATGCTTGGCTTGGTCGGTACTGCACCGCCACATCACGTGCGTATAGGTGTGCACGGAGTATAACTCCGTATACTCAAAGGTGGTACTAACACTTCTCCTCATTCGGTACCCTTAGTGTGATTCTGCTTGGCAAACTTGTTTGAAATAACAAAAGTTGAATAAGAATATGGGGTGGAGGTGGAACTTTGTGATATGTGCTATCTCTTGAAATCTGCTTGAAAGTATAACTTGTGTTCGTTCTTCATCTTTACGTAAAGAGGTCTAGCTCCGCAATGCTTATCAGGGGACAAGATAGCATTGGGATGTTAGAAACTCAAATTCTAGGACACCCAAGGAACTGGAGGCTCAATTGTCAATGATTCTCTCATCCAACACGATTTCAGGGGCGGAGAATACGATGACACATGGATATTTACGGTCCTTATCAATGCCCCGTCGCCCACGATATTAGCTTCTTCTACACCACAGAATAGATATTAAGCGTCACCTTGACTATTTCTTCCGCCGCATTTTACCGCGATCTATCTAGTACTGCTCCGCTATCATGGAAGTGCACTGATGCCTTTCCCTCAGCTTCTGGGGCTGAATGCTGATCATCAGCCATAGTGTTGAGACTGTCTGGTGCTAATGCGAGGGCTCCACTGATAAGGAACTCCCATAGTAGTAGTTTTTTAGGGCTTGGCCACCGAGCTATACGGAATAGGTAGGATGTGGTTCCGGCATTCGCTCTAACCTCCATTTCCCCCGTAGTATCTATTGAACCATCGAGATAATTTATACTGCATGGCTCCACAATATTACGGAAATGGGGGAAGATCAATGACTCTGCCCACCGGAACCAATTCGGTTCCTGCATGCAGATCTCGATATCGCTGGGATCTACGGGGTATTTGAGTAATTGTTCCTGTTGGCTCATTACACCACACGGTACATTCTTACCTACGTCCCGTAGGATTCAGTTGACTCTTATCAAAGTTGAATAGTTTGTGGATCAAGACCCCATCTGGGAAGGCATCTGCCTCTGGGAATACATTGTGGTCCCAATCTGTTTGCCAAATGCCGACTACTGAAGCTGACCTCTCAGTTCGTCCGAGATAACGATTCTAGGAATACCATTGGACTATCATGTCTTTACCTTTTAGAAAGGAAGGACGTAGCGGAAGAGCTCTATCCGTGAAGTCGCTCTTAACCTCGAATATAAAAAGCGAACAAGAGCCCTTTCAGATGTTTCCCTAGAACATCTTCAATTCAGTAAACCAGCAGACTCAGGCTCGAAGAACTACTTCCTCATCCCTCCGTCTATCTTAAACAAGACCACTTTACCGACAAACACAATGAAGTTCTCTACCGTGCTCTCTCTTTTCATCTCTGGCGCAGCCATTGCTTCGGCCCTCCCTTCCTCCGCCGAGACTGTGGAGGCCGACTGTATCAAGCCATACCTGTGCTGTGGCGAGCTCAAAACGCCTCTTGATTCTACTGTTGATCCGATTTTGGAGGAGTTAGGAATCAACGCCGCAAGCATTGTTGGTTCCATTGGCCTGGCCTGTATGTCCCCATCTACCACGCGTGCATTTGTGGGAAAGTTTAAGGAGGTGGAACATTTTTCTAACCAATCCGTGTAGGCCATGCCTGGGACGACTCGTGCAAAACTGCACCCAAGTGCTGCACTGAAGCTAATCTCTTGGTGAGTTCCTACTCCCCGAGAGGGGGAAAAGTAAAGATAGAAGTGTCGTCTAACATACATTCATAGGGTGGCACAATTGCTCTTGGATGCTCAGACCTCGTCAGTGAGCATTAAGCCCACTGAAATATTTGCGAGCCATCAATGCGGATGGAGCGGTTGTGCTGTACATCTGGGGCGTATGAGATGATTCTTGTCTAGCTGATTCGTTCATGATAAACTTCTAATATCATATTGCGCCCCGTTTAATCAATTCTGCTTTTCAAAGTTCGATATCTTGTTCGCTATGAAATATTTTAAGCCTCTCTCTTTATATGTTGATGTTTTCGGACACTGCTAACCAAGGAGAGGAAAATATCGTATAGAACAGGCGCAATGTCACTTCCCTCCTAGAAAGGCACATACACATACATGGAGATTATAGCCAACGAAAGCAGTGAGGGGTAATTCTGTGATAATGGTAAAAGTACAAGTAAGAAAAGTGGTAATAGAAAATAACCTAGTATACCAGAGGAGGTTTCATCGCGAGGGAGAGGTGCAGCAAGTGAATCTCAATCGAGGCCACTTCCTAAAACTAAAATGGGTGTTTCCTGCCAAGACACTGCGTTTCTACCCACGGTGGTAAAAGTTCGATCTCCAAGAGTACAATGTTTTTGCCAGAGCTTTCAAAATGAGAATCAATATATCACGGTCAAGAACTGGTTTCACATACTGCGTTATCACGAGCCTAGTAGCCCTAGGTACAGATCTTTGCCGAGGCAGGACTTCTCTAACTCCCAATCTCGATCTTGTATCGGCTATATCAATTGCCGCAAATGACTCCATCCGTGATATACGGATTTCACAGAGGGCCTCCTCAATCTTATCCAATATCACCCAAGCCAAAAGCCATGGAGATTCAAGAACCCATTCCGTGCAGTCTGCCTGGAACAGACTCATTTCAATCCTCACGAATAACGCCACTGATATTCTAGAGTTTGCAAACGAGATCACCGCGTCAGGCCTGATACCTCCCAGAGTACTGGCATGCCTGGATGGCTACGCCACTATTGACCTCAATTCAACTCACCATAACAACCCATCCTCAGAGAACTTGAGCATATACCCATACAAAGCAAAGAGTGATGCGCCTTACTCCATTGCGGAACATACTCTCCGGGTTGCAATTCACATTCCTAGATCATTCTCACACAAACAGGACAAGAAAATACCGGTGCTTACCCGAAAGTGAGCTAGTTTGGGCCGATCTTCCTGGAACCTCATTAGATGACATTCAATTAAGCGCTGAATCTGTCGCCTATGCGCTCAATTGTGTCTCGGCCTTGACATCATCTAAGATTGCAGTGATTTCTTGGTCCCAAGGTGCACTGGATATTCAGTGGGCACTGAAGTACTGGCCATCTACCCGAAACGTAGTAAGCGACTTCATTGCTATCAGCCCCGACTTTCCATGGAACAATACTCAGGTGACTGGCATGCCCGTTATTGGATAAGCTAGCATGTACTCCTTCGATTTGGCAGCAAGGGTGGGATGCAAACGTTATACAGGTCGTGCGGAGCAAAGGGGGAGACTCTGCGTATGTTCCCACGACCACCATTTACTCTTCATTCGACAAGGTCGTGAGACCCATGAGTGGAGGAATGCTTCCGCTCGGCTACTGGACTATAGGGGAGTGGGCGTGTCCAATAACCAGTTACAGACCATCTGCGCAAATAAGACCGCTGGTGGCTTCTATACGTATGAAGGAGTGTTGTACAACCCTCTTGCATGGGCCCTTACTGTTGACGCACTCCGTCACGATGGGCCAGGCAATATTACGCGAATCAACACCCAGAAGGTCTGTGAAGCGGTGCTTCCACCATATCTCGAATTGGTTGATATGCTGGGAACCGAAGCACTCCATTTAGTAGCCCTAGCAAAGATTCTTACGTATTCCCCGAAAGCCTTCGGGGAGCCTGATATTGCAGAATATACATATTTATAAGACGGTCAAACTCAGCATACCAAAGGGGGAAAAAATGGATCATAGTTCGTGCCATTTATGTTTCTCTGAGACTCCTGATTAGTTCCTGAGTTTCCACCACTTGCTTTAGAGAAGGAAAGAAACATTTTGGACGGGTCAAACTTTCTTTCTAAATGATTTGAAAAAAAAAAAAAAAAAACAAAAGATGGGCTAAAAAGAAGGCTATTGACTCGAACCAGCCGTATTGAGATGAAAGAACGCCGTGCTGTGCGATTGCCGTGATGCAGGACGATAGGATTGGATTTCCCAGTGTGGAGCTTAGATGAGCTTACGTAGATTCTTGAGTTCCAATCGTCGACTTGAGACACCTGAAAATAAAGCTCATGTTTAGACTCGGGTAGAGAGTAAGTAGCCTACTTATCTGATCCTGTAGGATATTCCGGTTGTCGATCACCTCTTGAAGCATTAGGAATCTTCCTTGGATCAAGTGTGTCAATTGCCGGTAAATCAGGGTATTATGTCTTCGGAAATTGAATTAATTGTCTTCAATTTCGCTAAATGCCGCCAAGATACCTGACAGGGCAGGATAAATTGATTAGGGCACCGTTGAACCACCCTATTCGTCAATTCATTATTCGAGTCTTCAAATAGTAATATAGGCTCAATTGAAGGAATAGTGCGGCATGGCGTGTTTCTTTTCTTCTACTTTTTAACTGGATCAAGACATGACGACGCTCAGGAGGGGCGCAATCCACGGCTTCTCCGGAAAATACATCGTACGCAATCCACCGTCTACTCCGTCCTATCCACCATGTCAAAGACTGGTAGAGGCGTTTTTTGAAGAAGTTTTCCTGTTGGTCCGCAGGCTCCACTCGTCCACTCTTCCAGCACTGCCAAGACTGTCCGCTTCACTCCATCGTCAGCTTCCATATCAGCACTTACGTTGTCCCTGACCATGGAGATGCTCCATAGTAGCCACTCCTCTTTTGAAGTTTGCGGAGTGTTTTAGCATATTCGTCTCCTACCCACTTTCTCTCTCTCTTTCTCTTCTATTTTCTTCATTAAATTTATCATGTTTGCTAAGAAAGTACTACAATCTATGTGTGCCCGGACTCCGTACGGACTAACCTCAGTACGTCCGGGAAAAGAAAGAACTACTCCTATATCTCAATCGAGCGTCGGCTGACGACGACTTATGTGCATGACCTAGTAGCTACCTCCTGGATGAACTGGTCTCTCCTTTTGTTATCCTCTTGTTGGTTAATACTATGGAGAACACTCTTAGTCGCTCATTCAATATGATTTTCTTCGTGGCCTTGGCTTTTCTCTGCTTTCGTAGTATTGTCGCAGCGTCTGATGATGATTTCAGGTCCTTTGTGACAGTTCGTATGCCCCATTATCCTTGAAGGTAAACTGCTGACAGGTCATAGCTCCCACAAGTTAGGGCGTTGAAGTTCGATATCACCTATCATGATCGCGACTCGGTAAGTCCGGGCTACTGGTTCGTTGCGCCTTATGGCGTGATTGATCCGGAGCCTCCGACGAAGCAATGGAAGCCGTGCTAAGTCGGCCCCTATATATACGATGCAGATGGTGTACGTTCATCCTGGATAGTTTGTTTGTGATTCGCCGGAGACCAACAGAAGCTGCAAGTGAAACGCTGACTTACATCTCATCGATCTAGACTCTCATCTGGGCTGGGTCGTGCCTGTATGACAACCGCAATATATTCGATTTCAAAGCGGTGCCTAACATTGATGGCGGCTCTCACTTGTCATTCATCTTGCAGCATGCATATAGGAACAATGACGATGATAAGGGGACCGGATATGTCTTGGATCAGCATTATGAAACGGAGAAAGTCGTTCCGGTGACCAATGATCTCGGCGCATTCAACATGCACGAATTTAACATCCTCGACGGCGGGATGACGGCTTTGGCGTGTGCATATCGAAACAAGTACATGAGCCTGGGTGACATTGGTCGTCCCGATGAGTACGGTTGGGTTGTCACAGGTGGTTTTGTTGAACTGGATACGGCTACGGGTGAGGTACTTTTTGAATGGGATTCAGAAGGCTACATCCCTATCGATGAATCTGTGAAAGTGGGCCCATCGACACCAGCTTCTGGTGAGCCTGGCTGGGATTACATTCATGTTAACGCGGTCGATAAGAATGCTGCGGGAGACTATATCCTCTCAGCCCGGTTCACGAGCACTATCTACCTCATATCCGGGCAGGACAAAAGTATTATCTGGCGGCTTGGTGGGGAAAAGTCTGATTTCGTCCAAGACTTCACATTCTCCAAGCAACACCATGTTCGCTTTGTCGAATCTAACGCCACACACACGACCATCTCGTTCCTCAACAACGCTTCGGACGAGGTCGAACAGGAAGAAGACACCTCCGCTGCCCTCATCGTGCAACTCCACACCAGTGTTTCCCCGATGACTGCGAAGGTCATTGAGCGATACAACCGTCCTGACGGAGACCTTACTCGGCTGCGCGGAAGCGTGCAAAAGCTGCCCAATGGGAATGTCTTCGTTGGCTGGAGTGAACGAGGATATCAATCTGAGCACTCCCCCTACGGCAAGCTCCTTATGGAAGCTAGGTTTGCTTCCTCTCGCTTCTCCACCTACCGATCGTACAAATTCGACTTCACTGGTCGGCCCAGTGCCCCGCCGGACGTGGTCTCGTCCGTCTATGGAACAGACGAAACCGATCTCACTACCATTTTCCACGTGAGCTGGAACGGTGCGACGGATGTTACTTCGTGGAATTTCTACGCACGGGTGAACCAAGACGGGATGCCTGTGCTCATAGGCAACACCACCAAACTCGACTTCGAGACGATGTACATTGTGGATGGTTACCTGGATTGGGTCTCAGTGGAAGCAGTGGATGAGGACGGAAACGTCCTGGGTGCCTCCAAGATTCAACGGACCGAAACCCCGAGTAACTGGCGACTTGCCGGGTTCCAAGGCGACATCATGCCAGCACCCCACGACCCATCGATTCTCTATGGGGACAGAACCATTGCCGATAACGACGATGACGATACGGAAGACACTGAAGAAGTCTACTTGAAGGCTCAGAAAGCGGCCGAAACCATCTACAAGGCATGGGAGGTCATCCGTGGGGTCGGAGGCCTTCTCATCCTCGTTCTATTTCTATGCTCTACAGGCGGGCTCCTGGCGGGTATGTACTGTTATTTCCGGCGGCGCAATATGCAGGCATACCACCAGGTTGCTTCCGAGGAAGGCCAGCCATTAAACGAACGCTCTATCTGACTGTGATCCTGTCACCACGAAAGGAAAAGAGAAACCATATCTTTCGCGCAAGCTTAGAAGTTTGTATACACGGCATATTGCAAAGCGTCAATTGCATACCTCTGGAGTTGTATATTTCGAATATTGTATCTTGTAATCTGTCCCCCTACCCCCCTCTCTCTTGTCCTTCTTTTTATTGTTTTTCTTCTACGATTTTATTTACGTATACAATGAGAATAAACCTGGACACAGGGCAAAGCTTACTCATGGTACTGATACATGAATTGTTTTCTATCGCCGAGTATCTTTTCTGTTGTTTCTCTAATGAAACGGAAAAGGCAAAAGACAATAAAGAATAATAAAAGACTAGAAAAAAGCAATCCGTATGATGAAAACGCAATGTTGTGAACATATAACTTTTCCCCAAACCATTCAGCAGTGCTGTCATATTTTCAAAACTGCAAATGATACTATGACCGGATAACACCCAAATGTTTAAACCACTATCCTTAATATCTTTTTTGCCTTGTTCGGTCCCATCATTTCCTTAGACAGTCGTTCATCCTCCCGAATTTGGAACATCTTCGGCTTCATTATCCTCTGCTCCAGAGCGCGCGCCACAGTCCGAAGTTTGTCATCTTGAAATCTCTTCATTTGAAGCTGAATGCCCGCATAATCTAAACCACCGTCATAGTAGCCGAACAGCAGAAGCGGCATAGACCAGAGTTCGCCTATTTCCAGTCGGATGGGCCAATCGTAAATGGCTAATCTGGCATGTAGCACTTTCAGAGATGCACAGGCTGATGCCATCTCATCACATGCATTGTACCAAGCAACGTCACTGCGGATCTTGAATGTGCGGAACGCTGTCAGCCGCGGCTCATTGTACATGATGTGATTGAGCTCTACATGACGGATAGCAGCCTGGCAATCCTTGGATGTAGTTCTAAGAAATCGTATGATTGAATTCGCAGAACTGAATATGAACTGCGCCGTCGAGTATAGCAAAAGAACTGTCTCGCAATAAATAGTTCGACATGTGAAGACGAGGCCAAATAAGAATGGCGTGTGCCTGGTGCGGTGGCCATTATGGTCCACTGCCTGTGTAGATGGGTTGCGAGGCTTCTGCTGACGATGGTAGAGCCTATAACGAGCCGGCCTAGATGTGTCGGTGTTCTTATCCTTGCGACGGAGAATTTCTACACGCTGTGGCTCGAAAAGGTACTGGTAGATCTGCCAACGGATCTCTACAGGAAGACCCAAGAACGACGCAGGCTTTGCCGGTTCCCTGGGGGGGCTGGTTTTCTTTCCAGAAACTAACGGTTTGTTCTCTAGTACCTTTTGCGCAGATATCGAGCATTTGGAGGCAGGTTGGGCGAGCAGAATGCTTGGAACTGGTGTTGGGTAGTCCGCTTTCTGTCGTTTAGTATTGGGTTTCGAAGCTAGCGGAGATCCAGGGGCACGCTTGCTACTGATATACTCTTGCTTCGGCCCAAAATGATCTGGAGCCTCTATGTTGTATACATGGTTTCGCGGTGATAAACGGACGGCGTCCAGCTTGTGCGATTGGTTTCTTTTTCTTGTGTTTGATGCATTCGCTGGAGCCTGGGCTAATTGCGGCGAGCAAGGATTGGTGGTTTCCTGAAAAGTATCGTTCGTTATGAGCTAGAGGCAAGATATAATATCTAACTTACCTTTGGAAATGATCGATAGAGAGCTCTTCCGTTATGCCGAGTCTGTTCCGTTAAGTTGGGGCTATCGGTCAATAAAGATGATGGATGGCTCATGTTAAGGCGAGAAGTTCCTTTTCTAAACCGCGAATACTGAGGTTCCTTTTCAAGGGCTTTTTCAGAATGGTCAAGAGGTCTTTGATCCTTCTTGCTCTTGCCTCGTCGACTGCGAGGTGCACGGTTGTTTCGACGGCCACGCCTCGCTGAGTCTGCCATGGTTGTGGCAGTAATTCAAAAGCTGAGGTCTTTTGGCTTAGGTGATACAAGTGTATTCTGAATATTGTAGAAGAAAGCACTGGATTTGAGAAAAGGCAGGTAGCACAGATGTTTAGTCTGAAACAGGAGAAAGTGGAAGGCACTCACATAAATGGCCCTTGAGTGGAGAGGTTATGTATGTATGGGAGTAGGTTAGTAGTATTCAGAATAGAGAGACGAAAGGGACCAGTGACAATCATTTCCAAAAGCTAGGTACCTTGTCTCAGATATCGTATTGAGGTCTATTGAAACTGACTTGTGCGAGAGTGAATGAAAGAGTGAATGTCTGTTATACTTCATTTGTGTATACTTCAGTATCATTCATTTTGTTACAGAGTTATTTACCATACCATAAATACCAATTCTATACACACTATTCCTCATGCGGAAAGCATCTGAACCCGACCCTCCAAGCATCTTGTCTCTGTTTTCTTTTTTCGGAACTATCTTTTCTGACTAGTCTCTCTCACTCTTCCAATTCCACTCTTTTAATCTAATATAATACTCCTCTGTCCCTCTTTTCCAGATGTCTTTCTGGTCTGGTGTCCTCCGCAATCCCGCCCTCCCAATTCGCTCCCGTGTAGCCTTCTCTCTCAATCAAACCGCAAGATCATCATCCCGACCCCACCACCTCCGGCAAGAACAACACCACCGCCCCTATTCCTCCTCCTCTTCTCCCCAGTCCTCGCAATCCAACCGCTCCCAATTCAAAATCCTTCCGTTCCTAGCAATCATCGGTATTGGCTCTGGATCCTACATCTTCCTTGTCAAGTCGCGTACCGGCATTCACAAACCGAAACCCGACTCTCAATCTCCTGATTCCTAAATTTACCCTAAACCCCCCCCTTTTAAGAATCTATCTACTCTCCGACTAAAGAAACATGGCTGATACTCAACATCCCAACCCTCGCTTCTCGACCTCCGAAGTCACGGTTGTTTTCCTCCTCGGTGGTCCTGGAAGTGGCAAAGGCACTCAATCCGCCAATCTCGTCCGCGACTACGGTTTTGTCCATCTGTCGGCGGGTGATCTGCTACGCGCCGAGCAGATCCGCGAGGGAAGCCAGTATGGTGAACTGATCAAGACTTATATCCGGGAGGGCAAGATTGTTCCGATGGAGATTACGGTGGCGTTATTGTCGAATGCCATGGCAGATGCTTTGAAGAATGGTGCTGGTGCCGGGGAGGGCAAGAAGGCCCGGTTCCTGGTCGATGGGTTCCCACGCAAATTGGATCAGGCTGTTTTCTTCGAGGATACAGTCTGTCCGTCGGAGTTGACGCTGTTCTTGGACTGCCCGGAGGAGGTTATGGAAAAGCGCTTATTGAAGCGTGGAGAGACCTCCGGCCGTGATGATGATAATGCCGAATCTATTCGGAAGCGTTTCCGCACTTTTGTTGACACCAGTATGCCTGTTGTGAAGGCCTTTCAGGAACAGGATAAGGTTGTGTCTGTGTCGGCCACGGGGTCTGTTGAGGAGGTGTATGCTCGTATCCAGGATGGCTTCAAGGCTCGTGGGGTCCATCAGCAGTGATCTATGTCTATTATTATGGGTATCTGTGTCAGCGATCTTTATATTTTCTTACTTGGGGTGTGGATAGCGCTTTATAGATGGAGTGGTTTCTTTCTTCCTTACATACAATGTCTACGTCTTAAAGTACATTATAGCCGGTTTATATATATGAAGATATAATCCCAATGGTATATCATCTCGTATATGCATGACATGACTCGTGTCCATTGATCGGGCCCAATCCTAACTACATGCCAGGCGGAACCTGTCTAGAAACAAATAGCTACCATGAACCGATAAAAATGTCGCCCGGAGAGAACACATGAACCGAAGAATAAACAATCGAAAGAAATTGGAAATACAACATAACACCTCTTCCCAGCCATTACACGACGAACTTTTTCTATACTTCTTTTCCATTTTCAATGAGTATCGTGGTGTTTCCTTAAGAGTAAATTACTCCGCGGCAGCCACCTCCTGGGGCTGCTGTTGCTGCTGAGATTGTTGGTTGTTGCCATGGCGCTGCCGACGATCTCCGGACTTGTTACCCTTGTCGTTCGACTTGCCCTGAGCGGCTTCCTCTGCTGCTGCAGCGGCTTGCAGGCTTTCACGGACGAAACGCTCCCGCTCGGTACGAAGGACGCCCAGAACGTTCTCGAGGCTGCGGCGCCAGACCATCAAGCGACCCTGCACTTCCGCCCACTGCTTCTCGCCAAAAACACGGTAGGTGGCGCGGTGTACTAGGAATTCGGACCGCAGCTGAGACAGCTTACCCTCGACCAAACCAGCACGGATTGTATCGATGACCCATTTCTCGACATCTTCGGCCGGCACACGCAGAGCCGCGGCGATCGTGGCATAGGGCAAGGAACGGGAAGGGGTCGAGGCAGCCAGAGAGGCCAAAGTCAATAGGCGCATCTTGTTCTGCAGCGCTTCGCCAGCGTCGGCCAGCACACCGCCGGAGATGCCTGCCAAGGGAGTGGCGGTGATGAAAGCCTCGTAAGCATCGAGAGTGTCGGCCGTAAAGATCTCAAGAAGCTCGAACAGGGTGCTGTCGCTGGAGCGAAGAGCCTGGACGGCGTCCGAGGCCGTCAGAGGGGTGAAGTCGAACACAGCGGGGTGGGTGAGAGCGGAGGTGAGAGCGCGGATGGCGAGGTCGCGGGCCTCCTTGGACGAAGCCTGCGCGGCTGGAATGGTCTGCAGAGCCTGCACAATATGAGTCTGTGCCAGCTCCGGGTCGCCCGCAGCCTGAGCGGCATCTGCAACAGCGAGATGCAGGCGCTGAGCCTCTTCCTCATCCAACTCCCAGGAGGACAGCCAGGTGGGCAGCTGAGCGGTCAACTGAGGCTTGAGGGCTTCGAAAGCGACTGTGGAGCCGGACTGACGGATGACTGCGACAATACCCAGGAAGACATGGAAGCGGCTGGAGTCGGTAGGAGCGAGGGTGTTGAAGATGGTGGAAAGGATAGAGATGGCCAGCGAGGGTCCGAATTGAGTGGAGGAGGTGATGGGTTTAGCGAGGTAGGAGCAGATGCGGGAGAGGAACATGTCAGGGTCTGAGGCGTAGTGAATAAGATGGACGAGAAGGTTGTAGGCGGAGATGATCTCTATTTATTGGCGTGTCAGTTTCTGTTCTGTCATGCAGTTTGATATCCTGCTCCTGCTCGCTTGGACGATATGTTGGAGGGACGACCCACCCTTCTCTGGAGCATTATTCAACACGGATGCCGCCGAGACCAGCTTCTTGAGAACCTCATCACGCTGTTTCCGATCGGGCTCAGCGTCACTCTGTTCCTGCTGGCGGAGGGGTTCCAAGAGCGGGGAGATTTCGGCCTGAATGGTGGTGGTGCCTTCGCTTTTGCGCAGTGCGTCGAGGTACTGGGCGAACTCGTCGGCGAGTTCGCTGAAGGAGCCCTCGATGAGGAGGGTAGTAGTGGGGGCGGGCATTCTGACGAGGGACTGTGCGGATGACAGGCAAAAGGAGTAGAAAGGAGGAAGAGAAGGGGAGGAAAGCGAGAGTTGAATTCCGTCGTGGTTGTGGTTGGTTGGCGGTGGAGAAATTTCAGTGTGGGAAAAAGTCTTGGCGCTGATTACGATGGATCAGCGTTTATAGTGACGATCAATAGTAGATTCTTGTACAAAATCAGCAAAAAAATAAAACAAAAATTTTCTATTTCTATATTTTACGATGGTCCCATTGCAGGAGCTTACTGGCTTATCAGCGAGTCTTCAGAAAATCTTAGAGAACGACTATTATTCTTCCATATGGAGTATCATCAACTAGACTCGTGAAAGGAACGACTAAAAGCACGCACAGAACGATACAGTTCATTAACCGCGACGTGAAAACAGGGGAATAGTACGATACGGTAGGTCATAGACGCAAAGTGAGATAGGAGAGAAACAACATTAAGCACAAAAATTTGTTTTTCGAGAAGGATCGCAGTGGCGCATTCCATAGTCAGAACTCGATCAAGCTATGTGCGTGCGGGTGATACCAGAAGCTACCATCTTACAGAACGAGACGGAGACCCAGGAAGAGTACCGTTGCCAAGATACCCGTCGCATGGTCCTGGGCCATGCGCACAGCAGCATTAGCGGTTGTGCTGCTTGTGCTGCCACTGCTCGTGGCGGTGCCAGTGGATGAGCTTTCGCTTTTGCTAGACCCCGAAGAACCAGTTGAGGTAGGCAAGGACGTGGTCGTACTAGTCGATGAAGACGAGCCAGAGGCATCGGACGCATTTTTCGAACCACACTGGCTTTGGGCCTCCTTGCATTTTTCGTCGCCGTCAAGGTCAGTAGAGCGGTCGATGCACTGGCGGTAGTTCTCCTGGCAGACGAAGAAGGGGATAGTTTCCGCGTAAGGCGCGACGTCAGCATCGGTGCCATTGGAGCATGTGCAAGTGAAACCAAGAGTTTGCTGTGACTGTTAGCTTATCTAGAGCTCTCCAACGCCGTAGGTGTGTGGTTGAACCATACCGGGTCACAAGTGTTCTTATCAGCAACTCCGCCGCAGATCTTAGGGCAGGCGTTCCGCTCGGCCTGACACCAGGCAGCTGAAGATACTCATTAGTTTTTCTGCCGTACCGGTGAATCATGCCATAGGCATGTTGTACAACCACGACCAGGACGAAAACCTACACTTATCCGCGGGTTTCACCTGGTTCAGATCGAATCCCTCAGGGAAAGTATAGTTGCTGGCGGTGGTCGCTGCAGTAGCGGAGGCCACCAAAGTGGAGAGAAATACGATCGGCAACATAATGGTCGTAAATGGAGTTGGGGTGTGGGTGTGTGTATGAATGAATGAATGGATGGATAGTAATGAAGTCCCCAATCGATCAGTAAGTCAATGATATGGACCAGACGCGAAAAGACGAGTAGAGGATGGAGAGAGAAGGTGGTACAAAAGCAGCTGGGGGAAGGGGATAGAAACAATTCTTGAAAGGGGAAGGGAATTGGCAGGAGATAAAAGAGAAACCACAAGGGGCGAAACAAGGAAGAGGAAAGAAGCGGAAATTTAAGCCGGGGGAGGTATTTATCTTGCAGTGACAGTAGGATAGCAACGGTATAGCTGCTAAAACAAGGTCACTAACCGCTGGGAAAGTACTATTGAATGGGTATTTGTTTATATCACAAGCGGGGGTAACACACGCTAGGGACCAGGCAATGAGACAGGACATGATTCCTGATGATACCTGTTTCTCATGTGTATCTTTTATTTTTATTACTTGCATTATTAATTTTGATTTAATTAATTAAACATTCGGAGAGCCAAAGCTATGGAATAGGAATTGAAGTGAGAGAGAATACCAACAAAGGTGAAGGTATTATTTTATTGTATGTATTATTTTTTTTCGGGTCCCTTTTTTTTTTTTTTTTTTTTTTTTTTTTCCCCTTTGCTTCTCACCTCCGTGGACCCTGTAACTATGGATGAGAATTTCGTTCCATACCACAGCAAAAACTAAAATTCCATGATTGGAATGTGCCCAACGAGGATCTTCCTTCCATTGGAGGGGTTTAATCGATCTAGGGACGGAACTAAGTCCAATAGAGGCCGTCGGTTCCGGCAGTTTTCACGCTAGTGCAGGTTTGAAATATGGACATGGAGGGTGTGGAATTTGAGTGAACTTAACTCGTCGCAGTACGAGTAGTATCTCGAGCACTACTAACTTACTGTTTTGTTCGGTATGTAATGTCCTGCTTTGATGGGGAAGAATTCTGCCAGTGACCAATTCTACCCAATTCATTCATTCCTTGCAATTCTTCTGCATATGTTAACACTACTATTAATAATTGGTCGCATACCACTTAACTATGGATGAAATAGTGTTATTTCGCTGGATTTACCACTTAGCCAATACTTGACCTCTCCAGGCTCCAGCTTCAAGTTTAAAAGTTAGGTTCTTACCTCAATGTGGAGGGGGCCAATCGGGCAGCCGAACTTGTAGCCGAGGTTGAAGGCAGCTGTGTGCCACTACTACCTACTAGTTAAGAGTAGTATCTGGACCTAGATGATCGATCAGAGTATAGGCAATAAAACCTCACGTCTTAACACTTAAGAAACAATCACTCTGCTTTCTTCCTGTCCATTCTGCCGGTGCGGTTTAAATTTCCCGTTATATATATCATACATCTCCTCCCTAAGAAGAAATAAGAAAAGAGATAAGAGAGAAGAGAAAAGAGAAATTGCAATGAATCGAACCTATGACCATACGAAGAAAGAAAAGATGATTGATGTCAATCCCGCCTCCATCATGAATGTTCCCTTAGCGGAAGAAGCATCTCTTGATCCCTTTCGCTCCCATCCCCACGCCAACCGTCTGCTCAACCACCCAGAATACTATCCCATCCGTACCTGGTCACGTCTTCCGAAACCTTCCACCGGCGAAGATGGCTATTTCGCTGGTACTTTAGCGACTTCGATCACTATCCCTCACTGTCTGACGCTTCGTCGCCGGTGGCTTCCTTCGCTCTCCGCCGCCCGTCCGCCGTGGCCCTCTCCCACCGATGATCCGGTCTCGTCAGAGCCGTCTGTCTTACCCCCGGACATTGTCATGCTGCTAGATTTGGCGACCCCGGGCGTGAGCGGCCACCCGTCGACGGCTCACGGTGGCATTATCGCAACCTGTATCGACGAGACGATGTCGTTGGCGGTAACCCTGTACTCTCCGCCTCCCGAGTTGGACGCTTCCGATCACAAGGGAAGCGGGGAGGACGAAACTCCTCGTGGGAAATTATACACGTCGCAATTGGATATACGGTACAAGAGACCTGTCGCTGTTCCTGGATTGCTGATCATCCGTGCCAAAGTGGTCGGCCGTGTGGGGAGAAAGTTTTGGGTGCGCGCTCAGGTCCTTCAAGCGGATGAAGAAAATCCGGACCAGTTGGTCGTCACTACTGATGCCATGGCTTTCTGGTTACAGACCACGTCAAAACTGTAAAATAACTCGAAAATCTCGATTGCGATGCATATATATCGTCGCCCATGGATATATTAGAGGCCATGTTTGCTGTATATATAGAACCAGATCTACCACGTGAGAGTTATCTATGTACATACATATATCTTGCCATGAGAAAAAAGAACATAGACCAACTATATCTTTGTCTGCCGCTGTCCTAGGTTCCGGCTGGCGCTCAACACCAAACCCACCTGCGTGCTCAACGCCACCACGTCACCCTGCTCGTCCAGTATCACTACATTCAGATCTGTTCGGCCATCGCGCACCACCTTAGTATGAACTCGGCTGTATAGCCATTCCGCGCCCTGCGCAGGCAAGCGCTTTTTAAAGTCGATATTCAAAGTAACGGTAGGGTACCAAAACCGGGCAGTTTTCTCCGCTAACTCTTGTGACGGTGTGGACGCTGACGCCATTTGATCAAGCCCACCAAGCGCCATCGGGAACATATCCACTAGAAACGCCACGGCCTCGTTGGTCCACCGCGCCTCGCGATCTCCGCCCGGCCGAAATCGGGACCATTGGTCGATCACTTTAGGTTTCCCTAAAGCCGGGTTGGGTCCATACAGCTCGAGCTGCAGGGTTGCTCGTCGGAACTTGGGATATGGTGGCTGGAGAAGCACCCATTTACCATCGCGGCCAGTTTGGCCCAGCGCCGCCAGGTTCACGCTGCCATTCGGCCCTGTTCCAGGTTGCGCAGCTGGTTGCAGACTCCAGCCGGTGTTGGAGCTGATGCCTACTTCCGCGGTAGGCGGACTCACAGTGATATAGCCGGCAACCTTGACTTCTAGTTCACCGTTCTTGGCTTTCTTCTCACTCGGCTGGCATAGGTTGATATGGATTGTACTGGTGCGTGCCCCCAATTTCATATCTTGCACTGTCAGTATGGCTGGGCCAGCAGCCGTGCGACGCAGAAACGAAAGCTGAAGAGATATCGGGGTTGCCGGCGCATCGTATAGCGTAGGGTGTGTATGTGCGAAATGAGTAAGAGCAAGTCGGTATATGACAGCGGTTGTATATCCGCCGTGTGGGACTGCGATTACTCAGTTGCTTTCCTTTTTCCCATGGCGCAACTCTAGAAGAACAGGCCAGCGCAAAATGGGATATCGGGATAGAGCATACCTGTTCCGATGCACCAGTCATCCCGTAGGAACGCTGAATACCGGTGGGACTCAAGCGGCGTCACTTTGATAGCCTCCTCGAATGCAGGGCTGTTCGCTGGCAGAGCAGTCATGGCTAGGGTTGTGTTTCGAAAATCTGATCGCGCAGCGAGAATTGAAGACTTAAGGGGGATTTGTTTCAATCACTGAGGTAGTAGTATAAATGAGGATATGGCCATGTGGGCATTGTGTACTGGCCCACGGAACATTGGAGCTTAATTAAGCATTTGCTTCTCCGCAAAAGCCTCGGTATGTCCTTTCGTCCAACCGAAACGGTGTCGCATGTATGTATTAAATGTATGTACTTGTACTGTACCTGAACCTAGAGGCTGACTAACGCTGCGTTCGGCTAACTAGTTACCAAGCGACGTCAACGCAAAGCAAGGTACATACAATTCTAGGTTCTGCGACCTTGCTCTACGAAAGAAGCACAGTACATACCATTTTTAAAATGCTCTAGCGTATCTGTAGTAACAGTCTAAATGTCCCATTCGAGTCCCATTACAACACTCCAATACGCCACGCTTTTTCTTTTGCCTTTGATTTCGCTTGGCGTCTCGATTTCAACATATGCACGCAATTACCTGTTCGATACCATTATATGTAGAGTTGTGCCGACGAACCCCTAAGCCCGCCAAAATAACTAATCACTGCTCGAGCGAGGATGCAGCCAATCTCTCCAAACACGAAAGGACGCCTAAAAAAGATGTAGTCAGCATGACAATCTCCATCGATGATTGGCAGGTCTACAGACCTGTCACCCCCTGAGTTAGGGTTGCTTTAGCTTCCGTGCTACGGGATCCCAATGTCACCGTCATGGCATAGTCGACTCCCTTGGCGTTCTCAAGTTTGTTCGCCCACCGAAAAACTGGCTCATCATCTCGACCATCCCCAATAGCCATCAGGAAATCTGGTCGGGCGCTATGATCGCTCTTGCTTCGTTCGAGGCAATGCCGCCACACCATAGCCGCGGCTGACGCCTTATTCGTGTCAGCCGGCTCTACCACAAGTGCCCCATTCATCATCACGGCATGGACTCCTTGATTGGCACAGGAGTCATTGATATGATCTGCGCACTCGGAAGCTAGTCGAGAGGCAGCCGCTTGGTCTTCAGCCGATCCATAGTGGAGCATGAGAGAGCAGTGACGTTGTTCGATCCAACTGCCTTCTGCCCGCTCTTGATAGTAACCGAGAATTTGGCGAACGGCCTCCTTCCAAGCGTCAGTCTGTGCCTTATTTGTCAACTTGAACCACTCGTCCGTCTTCGGCTCGCGCACGAAGCATCCGTTCTCCGCAATGAGGCCTAAGCCCGCCACCATCCGGAATAATCGCTCCATCTCCTCTGGCATTCTAGAGCTCATGACAAATACTATATTCCTAGGATCCTCAGTTAGTTCCGTCAGTGTCGTAATGGCTCGCTGCGGTGTAGTGACGATGATACTTTTTGGGGAACCCCAAGAGGCTAGGGTACCCTCGTAATCCACAATGATAAGCCGACGATTGGACCTTCGATAAGCCTCTTCGAGTTTGCTGACGGACAGCCGTGGAACGGCCATAATCTCACGCGACGACTGCTCATTCCATACACGGTTCAGAGTCTCGCTGAAGGATTTGACCCAGTTGGCAGTGGAGTTTTGAAGAACTGCATTGTGTAACTGAGTCCACACCTGCTTGCGTTCCTCCTCGCTCCTCGATAGAGCTGTGTGAATCGCCTCCGCACATTGCCGATAATTCCAAGGGTTGACTAAAAGAGCATGATTCCCGAATACCGATGCACTTCCCGTGAATTCACTCAGAATCAGGGAACCATACTTTTTGTTGCCATATTTTCCATCTTGGCAGTAAACGAACTCGTGACTCGTCAGGTTCATTCCCTCACGTAAACTGGTAATCATCAAAGCATCTGCAACCGAGATTAGGGCGAGATACTGCGGGAAAGCGAGATCCTGCTTGAGGAAAACTAGCGGTTGATGCGCTAGGGTTGAAAATGTAGAGTTGATTCGCATAGCTATATCAGAAATTGTAGCTTCAAGCTCGGGTTGTTCTGTTGTACTGGTTGCAACTTGGATCAATACTACCTACACATGGATGATCAGTCACATCTCTGCAGTTATGAGCTTAGGACAATTGTACGATAGGCCACATACCTGGTTCCTCCATTCAGGGTACGTATTGAGAAATAGCTCATAGCTAAGGAGTTTTTGCCGTATTCCCCTGACTCCGTCAATCTTGTCGCGTGAAACGATCAATCGTTTCCCTTCATATCTTTCGGAGATGGTTTTGACCCATTGTTCAACGTCAGTGGCCTTACGTCGCTTGTCCCATGAAGTAGGGTCGATGCCGATTGGGAACTTGTTCACGTTGACAAACCGATCTTCGAGCTGGACCCCCTCATTCGTGGCCTCAACACAGAGAATACGGCTACACGTCTGAAGAAAATGTCGGCAGTACTCCTCTGTCTGAAAGCCAACGAGATTTGCACCTAGTATTCCCTCGAGCAGTTCTTTACGAGGGGCTAGGCAACGGAAAACTTCCGAAGATGGGAAAGCAATGTGTAGGAAAAAGCCAATTTGGGCGTCCGGTAGCAATTTACGAAGCATAGCCGGGACTAGCAACAGGTGATAGTCCTGAATCCATATTGAATCTCCGCGCTTCCAGTTTCGAGCGATTCGCTCTGCGAATGCTTGGTTGGTCTTAACATAATAAATCCAGGAGTGATCCTCATATGCCTTGCTTTTCGGGTTGTCGGGAATCTGGTAGTGAAATACAGGCCAGAGTATGGTTTTGCAGAAGTGAGTATAATGGCCATCAAAATCACCGTCGCTGACATATACAGTCAACGAGTCGTACTCATCCTCAAGCCTTTCAGCAATTGCAGATTTTGTGTACTTAGACAAGGCATCTGTCGGCATTCCCAGCGTACCAACCCAGACCTTGTCTTCTAATTGTCCTGCATCTGTCGCGGACCGAACAGCGTTGCGAAGCCCCCCATTGCCCTGCTCTGCCGTCTCGATTGTCCATTCAGCGTTGGAGAAGGAACCCTTACGGCTGGGTTCCCTGCTGTGCTGGATCCCACTAGGGCGATGAGTGTAGAGTGGTTTCTGTCCCTTATCAGATCTCTTGGGGGAAGGCTCTGTCATGGGAGTAACAGGCTCCTGGTGCTTAAGGATGGATGGGGACGGCGGAACAGTTGCCCGCGGTCGCGGCTGGTTCAAGGACAACGTTGAACCCCACGCAGGAGAGTGTGCTTCACTTTCCGTTAGAAGACTTCCATCTTGAGCTATATCCGGGAATGGATATGTAGAATGCTGTTGTTCCGCCTTTGCGAGATCTGATGAGAAGATCCGCTCATGTTCGGTGGTGGCGCCGGGTGTGAGACCGGCTTTTTGATCGCGGTTCTGTTTTTCAAATAAGCTGACCGCTGCATTGGCTGTTGAAGCTGGGGTCTCCGCGCCAGGCTTCGACAACTCAGGGCCTGTTTGGGGCGGGCGATCTTTCGTCTCATTGAGGTGGAAGTTAACGGTATATGGCAGAAAACTAGTTTATCACCAGTTAAGCGTATCAGCAGCAGACCGAAAGAGAATAAATAAGAGACATAGGTAATCGACATACAGCGAAGCGATATAAATCGTCATTGTGGCAGCTTCCAAATGCGCAGAGCAACACAAAGCAAAAACGGGGAAGAGAGAGGAAAAGGAGACAGGCAATTGAAATGGTGATCGAAATTCTAGACCACAGTGACAGGAACTATGTTTCTTAGACCGAAAAAAATGGCGCGACCAAGGCCAGGCGAAGAATAGCCTGTTGATGTTGAATGCGGGAGCGCGGGGGGGAGATTTTAAAAGATGACGATGGTTGGACTGAGGCACAAATCCTCCCTCATCACTACGTCATGTGAAAAGAGGCCCTGCTCAACAACTTGTTGCTACAGTCCCACCGAGAGAATTGTCGGTCGGCTGGAATCCCATCAAACACGGAAGCAGCCCAAGTTTCTTATACTTGACCAAGATTTTGCCTAGGCAGCATGGCCTACAACATCTTACATCATACCACTAACACCGCGATAGGTATCGCACTATGTTAACAGACTTTCTGTATAGCCCTGGGTTGGTCATTCTTATTGGCGGGATTCTAATAAGGTGAGGGGCAAATCACGTGCTACTACGCTTCTTATCAGATAAGTAATATAATACGGAGTACAGAGTACATATGTAGTACATACATACTGTATGTTTCATTAGCGACATCTCTTTGGCTGATGGGAGGTCAGAGTCCCTCTCCCGTTCTCGACCATGCCCTTGCGCATCACCTCTGCTCCTGTCTCTGGTGTCAAGAAAAGAAGGAAGCCATCCAACACAGCGCTTCGCTCTTCTCCATTTGCCAGTCATGCTCGTCGCAAAGCTATCGCACAGTCATTCACCGATATCAAATCCAATGACCCCAGTGGCGAATTCCGGGAAGAGTATGGCCAAGGGCCACTTCCGGATATTGGAATGTCACGATACATCCCAGAGACTACTCCAGTAGAGGATGTTATTCAGGCCATATGTCACATCAGGGATAGTTTTTTCGAGGACCTTCCCACTCGAACAGGCATGAACAGCACCCGTGTCGCCAAGTTATTGAATCTTCGCCGGTCACTGCCACCGCTCGCCTCGGTAGCTCATGTCCACACATTACTGGATATACCAACGAAGGTGGAGAGAGAGATAGTAGAGTCTGTAAATTCTGGCAGAATCCGTCGACTAATTGTTCCGGGCAGAGGAAATGATGCGGCTGGGTTAGGGGATTGCTTAGTTCTCTCGGAAGACTGGGAAAGGCTTGTGCGAGATAGTTCTATAGGATCTCATCTGAAAGGTACTGCTTGCCTCTGAGAGACTTAGGCTTCCAATCGCTAATTTTCTATTTTCAGACAAGTTTTTGGACGTGTTCAGTCGACCAGATGTCACATTTGCTGTCCCCGATACACTCTTTTCTGCCCCAGAGTGTATGGAGCTTCTCCGTGCTGGATTTTTGGTCTCGTCCTCGTCTTCGGTCAAGGGATCTCCAGGCATAATATCGCTTCCGACCTTCCCGCCCACGTCTTCATCCGGAAACTCGGCCAGTAGGGGTGATCCCGCTGCACTGAATGGCAAAGAAGGCGGCAGCCGCTCTCGATGTCATACAACAGTTTTGTTCCTATCCCTGCCAAACACAGGCCCTTACCTTAGGCTTCTAAGCTCTGGTAGAGCGCATCTCCTCGCACTTATTAGAAAATCAAACTCTAGTGAGGTACCCCTTCATCTTCTCCGAGATCGCTGGGATGGAGCCGTCGAAACAGATAAAAGTTTTACTGCGGCGAAGAGAATAAGAGGCGAGCGCGCCGGCATTTTGCCAGGTAGAACGAAGAAATGGAAAGAATTGTGTGGAATGAACTTTCGCTGGGTTCTAGAAGAGGCCCTCGGAGCTGGTTTGATCGAGATCTTTGATACTGGTAGTGTTGGTCCGGGGGTACGTTACCTATGATTGACCGTCTGTCTGGATATGACTAGTATAGAACGAGGTATACCCCGCGTTAGGAGTGCGAATGTGCTGTGACGCCTAGCTAGACCTCCATACGGAGAGGCGCATGCTCCAACTACATGTACACATATATTTCTAGCACGACGAGGAGCAACGTTGGATACGGGCAATTACCATGTTGGAATAGTTGTAATAACATTAGCATGTATGATATGATTACGGTACAATGAATATCTGGGGGTTTGGGATTGGGGGGGTTGTTCCCCTGAAAGGAGCGATACGAACCACCGGACTGCTAGGAGTTCTGGGTCTGTCGCAAGAGTGTGCACCAGAATGCGCCGATGGACGGGTCAGCGTCTTGGGAGGAATTCTCGTCCGAATTGAAGGAAAACCATACGAAGAATGAAATGAAGTACATTTCCAGTGTGACCAGAGTAGAGCGGTTGTTGGATTGGCCGCGAGAGAGGGAAATCGGAGACGGCTGGCAGGAGGTTGACATGTCTGGTGTGTGTACAGCGACCCGGGTAGTGTTTTGGCCTACTCTCAGCCTTGTTTCATCTATACGTAGCATTCTCCCCCGTGGTGAAGAGAATAGGTCGAATTTCTGCTGGTCGCTACGTGGTTAGCAATACCTCGAGGCTAGTTACCTGTTCCTGCGAATAACTGATATATCGGCCAGTCAACTTTATCACCCACACATTTCACCCTAAGGCTTTAATTTCTACCCACTCTTTCATTGTCTTAGTTAGCTGCCCTTGTCTCCCCATATCTCGAGGCACAGGGTTCATGAGTCTTCAAATTCCCCTCACGCATGAACCGAGGGACTTGGTTCCGAACCTGCTGTGCGAAAGAAATACTGCCTTGGCACCCCAAAATACTGTATTTGCATCATATGCCAGTGTGGAACAGGTGGTAGTTATGTCTGACCGGGTAGAATGGGCTATGGCCACAACATCGAACGCCAGCGGAGCAATGTCCCCAAAGCCATAGTGACCGACGTGGGGCTGTTCATCGGCTGGACGGCCCAAAGACGATCTCAGTGTAACCAGAGAGCTCAAATACAGACAAACGCTACCGTGCACTGGGAGACCTAGATGCTAAGGGGTTGCTACGGGTACAGAGCCGGATTCTTCTTGGGGAGACAGTAGCTGCTCCCGCCCTACTCTATACTATTAAAAAAGAAGAGATTGACCCTGCCATGTGCATACGCTGCCAGAATTGAGTTATAGTAACACATTTTGCCACCCTCATACTCCCTGCTCCTAAAATCTGTAAAACCAAAAAGAGAAGTATGATATGCTGATTCCGGACAAGATGTAGGACAATGAGGGGGTGAGTAATTATCATAGGATTATTCGCAAGGGAAAATCAAGACAAGGGTGAGGAGGAAGGTAGAATAAGCTTTGTACGTGAAACACTTCCATACCCCTATCCTGAAAGAGTGAACATGTCAAGTGAAAAAGATGACTCCAAGGGAAAGAAAGGTGTAGTAAAAACAGAGGTAAGAAGGAAATTAGAGACTAGGTGGATCACTAAAGAAGATTGGACCAGCCTCGCAACAGGTCTTTCGTTGAATTTAGATGTTGTCTCGTCAAGGCATTAAGGTGTCAACAAAAGAAAAGTGGAAACACTGACAAGGAATCATGACAAAATAGGGACACATGTAGTAGGACATGTGAAGGGTATTGAAATTCTTCGGGAGATAGTCCAGTTATATGTCAAGAGGATAATCAACAGTTATCATCATCAACCGGATGCCTACGGTAGCAGGTACAAGGCTGAAAACACGTGAGTATGAATGGAACGCAGCTTGCAATCACCGTTGGCCTGCACTGACAGTGCTCGGCTCAACCTGAGGTTGTGTGGCACTTGGAGTCGATGATGTCAGTGTATTTACGTTTGCTGATGCAAGTTGTGCCCTTAAAGCCGCTACTTCGGTCTTCAATCCTGCTAGTTCTTCATGAACAGAACGAATATATGCCCATAGCTTATCCTCTCGCTCACGATTCTGATCAGCATAATTCGAGTCATGCGGTCCCGGAAGATGCCCATTATTTGCGGTCACCTCCGGGCCTGTTTTGGATGCCAGAGACCCACTATGGTTGCTAGAATGGCTGTGGGGTGGTGTATGTTTCGTAGCGGCCGGTGGTGGTTGTACAGAGCTCTGAGAGTGAAGTGAAAATCGAGAATCTGAGGTGTTCATTCCAGGCGGTGGAGGAAGCTGAGGAGCACCAGGCTGTGGTGGGGGAAGGCCTAAACTGCCAGCGGTATGATTTGCAACGGATGCCTGAGAAGACCCCGACCTGGTATATGGTTGTTGCTGGAATGACTGGGCCATTCCTGGAGAGTGAGCGCGATGAAGTTCAGGGCCATGACCGAGCTGGTGCGAAGATAGTGCATTTGGTGAAAGTGGCTTTGGGCTTTCTGTGACATTTGATGGTTGGAATATTGAGGCTCCAGAATGCTGGCCAGGAGGTGGAAATGTCAAGTTACCGGGTTGCGAGATGGGGGATGCTGATGCGCTAGAGCCACCGTGACTCGCAGGAGGCGGGAAAAGGCCTCCTGGAGATGGTCGGCCAGCGGCAATCGGGGGATACGTGCTCGGCTGCCGCGGTTGATAACTATTTGCGGTATTGGATCGTGTGATCGAATCTGTGGGAATATCATGTTTTTTAATGCTAGGCATGCTCATGCGGCGTTCATCCTCTTCATCCATACGCTCGGGCTCTGCATAGACGAGGCCATCCATCGTGTCCTCCGCACCTGGATGGACCCCAGTGTCGCCGTATTCATCTTCAGGAGCGTAACTTCCCATGCTCGCCCGACGACCCGCACATCCGCCTTGTCCTTTGTTATGTCGAGCGAGAGCGTCACCACGAGCAAATCGACGCCCGCATTTGGGGCAAATGTGTGGACGCTCTCCGGTGTGGAGCTTCGTGTGTCTTTTCAAGTCATGAAGTCTTCGAAAGCGCGATTGGCAAGTCTGGCACACGTACGGTTTCTCTTGACTATGTGTAAGAAGGTGGCTTTTGAGATTATGATGCCTTGTGAATTCCGTAGAACAGTATGGGCAACGGTGTTTTTTGGCCGATGGTGATCGCTGGCCGGCCTTATTAAATCCAGAACCTGGTAAGCTCAGGCCACGACGGGGATCACCAAGAGCTGCCGTCGGCATAGGGTAAGAGAAGGACTTGTTACTTGCATCCTGCAAGTCCATTTCGTCCCTATGACGTGGACGATCCCCATCCTGTGAAGCCGAATCTTCTATCGGGCCAGGACTGGCAACTGTTGAAGTATTCATAAGGGACGTGCTGTTATCGGTCGTTCCAAAGGCATCCGCCGGATTGCCTGAAGTGGAATGCGTGTCGACCTGCATCTGATCGGACATATGTACGGAATCATTAAGCGAATTCATTTGTTGCTTCTCAGTTGCACCAAGAGCTTCTCTCGCTACCTGTGAGCTGTTTTGCTCCGGCTCCTTCTCATGTTCTACTAGTCGATCCACCGAACTAACTGGCTGTGCAGTCGTTGTCATGGGTGGCATCGATTCTCTTGATCGTGAGACGTTTAAGCCGGCACTGGCAATGGAGGTAAGACTCGAGTCTGGTTTCGTATGCTTCAGGAAGGCGACAGATTCCGGCGGGCTTGAGATGATGGAGGCGGAGGGCCCGGGCAATGAGTTAGAAATGGTAACAGGTTCGTTATTCGATTGCATCAATGCCGCCATGGATAACGGGTGCTTCACGCCAGCCTGGAATGGTTGGCGAAAGAACGGGGAAGCTACTTCGGCGGAACTCATGTCAGTGAACCAATGTCGAGAGTTGCGAAACAGTAGTAGGGTGGAAGTCTGATAGCCACGGATAGCAGGTGAAATAAAGGGCATTTGATGCAACAAGGACCCAATGAGCCAAGCAAGACAAGAGAACAAGTGAGAGCCATCAGAGGCACTGTCGCGTGGGGCGCTTACCTGGATCCGATTGTGGCGCAAGCTGACGGGGGGGTTCAGCTTTGGCGATGTTTTGTCAGACAGTTAGGTCCCACGGGAACAAGATGGGTCTTGCAGCAGTATGATAAAAATAGCGATCAGCCTTGCAAGCAGAATGAGAATGCTTAATTCTATTGTCTGCTTGATCGATCCGAGTCTGGTTGAGGTTAACCCATCTGGAGGGATCGAGATGGAAGCACAGCTGAATGGGAGATGTCAAATTAGGCTCCAGAGGAAGCTGGAACTAGCGATTGTTGGGGAAACGATGGAAAGGGGATGCATGCAAAACTAGATTATTGACAAAGCGTCAATGTACTGTCGAACTCGATGGATCACGAGTGATTGTTAGAAGGCAAGGGGTGTGTAGAGCCGAAGATGTCAAGGGAGCAAACCAGAGGAGGATACAAGTTTAGGGAATGAGCGGGTGGTTGGATGGAGACTTAGGTTGACCAAGCCTCAACCTTCAAGGGAAAAAAAAAAAAAAAAAAAAAAGGATCACATAAAATAAAATAGAAACAGAGGCTCACAAGAGACCTGCAGTGGAGAGACCAATACAGAATAGGAAAAGGATAATTACAGGACCCGGTTGTTAGGAAGAAGAGTTGGTGGGTTGAAAGACATGGATAAACGTGATAAAGGCTGTGGCAGAACGGATGGATCCAGGAGATGATGCAGTTGCTGGCTTAGTTGCGGTCCCGAAATATGTTTGGGTCAAAGGTGCCTGGAAGGTGGAGGCCGTAGTTCTGCCTCGGAAGAAGATATCTTGAAAGCAAAATAAAAATAAAATAAAAAAATAAAAATAAAAATAAAGAGAGAGAGAGAGACAGAGAGAGAAAAGTCAAAAGTCAAAAGAAAAGACCCAGATGAGGGGAAATGAGCCAAACAAACGAGCACAAAATGGAAGAGCGAAGGAAGCAAAAGTTCGAAGTTGAGAGAAGACGAACACGAGGTGAGGCAGTGGCTGGAGAGAGCATTGGGTCTGACGACTTATGACCAGGCTCTAGGCGGCTCTGCCTGACGGAATAGTGGGCTAGACACCGGAATTATACATTGTCCGGCATCATCTCTGTAAGATACTGTAACCTCTCAATACGTGAGGATGGGTCGCCAGGCACCAAAAGAGGCGCAGCATTGATTACATTTTGTCGGAATGCCCCTCGGCATGGCGTACAGGTTACAGATCTATTGAAGAAGTCCGATCAGATCGAATTGCCTGGTGCGTAATTAATCGCCACACATCAGTGGTATTACGGTAATTTAGGTAATAGCTGGATGTGGAGTACCAATAGCGTACTTTGAGGCGCATGGTGCAACGCATAACCTCCTAACTACAACAGTACTTCCATTCAGGACTGGTGATGCTGTGCTGTGGGTTGTTTCATTCGGATTGATTTTTGATTTTTGAAAAACCCTGTCCAAATGCAGTAGATAGAAAGGAGGGGAAGCCATGGCCGGAGGAACATAGCCATAGACACCGACCCGAGGATAAGGTAAGGGACCTCCGGATATATGTCTAAAATGACGAACCAGCTACTGACTCCGTATGTATGTATGTACGTACATACGTACAATCATACATTAAGGATGCGTAGTTTATTTGCTAAAACCTTTTCCCTCTATGGAAAAGGACACCATAAGAACTTTCTCAGAAGGTGCATCAGCGCGTTCAATTCTAACCAGTCCAAAAGACTCATTAATCTTCCGTCCTTCAGAGTTAAATGAGGGAGTGAGGCTATGTTTGTCATGCTGAAAGCCTGAAACCTCATCATTGTGGCTGGCCCACGGACGCGGAGAAGCTGACGGTTTTGGCCACTCATAGCGGGTTTTCTAGAATATTGTGGGAACCATTGGGTGGCTGTACACTTCCACCGCCTGCCCGACACGGCCCAACATGCTGCTGATTGGACCAGTACGCTGTGGGGCCATGCAGCCTCTCAGGCGCCTTTTGCTGCCGTGGCCAGAGAAGTCACAATCTGCAAAGAACCACTGGTCGATCCCTCTCACCATGGGGCCTGATTGGTAGGAATGATGGTCCGCTCCAAATTGAACTTGTTTCCTGGTGGGAATTCTCTGGATTTACAATCGGTGACCAGACGAGGTGATTTGGAAGCCTTTTAGATTTATCAGTTTGGGTGCTTACCGTCTCCGTCTAATATCAATACTAAACTGCTCCCTCTTGGTTTGCATTGTTACTACGCCTTTGGGTAAGTAGCACTTGTATCTCGAGGTCCTTTCGTACCATGTTTAAATCCCGCTTCGACTTCTATGTTTTTCTTCTTCTTTTGGCCCCATACTCTATTCTAAGCTTCCCATCTTTGAGGATCTGCAGATTATAGACTTGCGTGCCTATTACTAATAACATGCTTAAGAGCGTTTACCCCATGCTTCGGCGTACTCCGAAATCACATGTGGCGTAAATATATGCATAATGAAAACACCCTCCCTTTTGGATAGCATTATGGGGTCTCTCCATTAGTAGCTTCAGCTCCAGCTCGACTTACAGACAATGGCAATCTCCAGCTCCATTCATGAACCCAACTACGTATTGATTGCAGCTTGACTACCGGACTCTGATACTGGAGGAGGAGACTGTTAACGCTCGAAGCAAGAATCATTTGACCTCTGACCTGGTCCTTTCGTTAATCCTTGGGATTTTCATGTACTCACCTCAAGCTTTCTCTTTAGAATAACTAATTGGTCCTGTGACTCAACATTGGTCAGTGCTACAACGACAGCACTACCAAATTCGAAAACATGAATTTTCTGGTCTATAGTGCGGAGTGGGCCCTACGCAACAAACACCTCTAGCTAGAAGGGAACCACTCCAATCGTCTATTGTATGGATTTCGATGTTCTTGTTCGTCTAAAACTGAAATGATAATAGTATGGCCTAGGCTTCCTTCCGAGGTGAGGACGGCATTCACCAGGTGGTAGTAGCCAACCTCTCATCAGGTCGAGATGAGGGTGTAACACAACAGCTATGCTTCATTCCCCTGGAATGTCAAGGCGGAAACAGACACTGGGATAGTATGTAAGAGAAACGGAGTAGAGCTGCAAGCAGCTGATAGTGTCAGCATAGAGAACATATTGATGATCATTCACTTGGATTAAATATGACCTTTGCTACCGCAACTCCTCGGATCTTTGCAAAAGTCGGCGCTTTCAACTCCGATAAATACTTTCTCCCTAAATACCACAATCCTTGCATTCTACTAACTAGTCTTTGGAGGTGTGCAAGATCGCGCAACCTTAGTGAAGCGTAATCTAAGATAGTGTTGATCGCCAGTTGAAGTCTACCTCTGTTTACGCTGTCATTACGACCGAGAACACAACTGCCTCAACAAATAAGATAAATAGCACACTACCTTTCGAACAGTCAGATACTGTTGGCATGACCTCTAGTGTCATTGGAGGTGTGGAGACTATTGGCGTTGAGCTAATTAGTGAATTGACAGAAGCTCCTCAACAGATCAGGGAGAAGGTAAACATCAGCTCCATGTCTGTTGCATCGCCGATATTCGAAGTCCTCGAGCAGTACTGCGGCGAGGGGACTAATCAAATAGGAAAGGAGACGGTGCCCTTCTAAAGGACCAAGGTGTTGAATGGAGTACAACCGAGGCATGGACTGTGAACTATGATCTTTGACAATGGTACGCGAGTCCAGGCCAACGTGTATATCCCAGCGACGGAAACGTCTACTAAGCAATGATTCCATTCCTGAAGATTCCCTGGACTGGATCATTGTAGATAGAGAACTCCACATTCAAAGGGACAGGACAGGATTTTCAGTAATATTGCTAGTTTTTGCAGTAGCGGATATATAACCGATAATCCTATGATGCTCGCTTACAAGGCACAGAATGGGGCACAGTAAGCGTATATAATACCTACAACGAGGGGGATATTATGACTGTACCAATTGGGTAGAATAAAATTGTGATGAAGCAACCCAAGATAGTCCTTTGCTTTTATTACTCTCAGTATTGAATCTTAGCGAGTCCGTCCAAACATCCGTACTCTCAGTTGGCGCACGGGGATAATGAACTCTGCAGGGATATTTGATGCATTAGCAAACGCCTTCCCATAACCCATCACAAGTAGATAACCATACAAGAAAGTAACATCATCGCCATCGATTTGACGATATGATATATAGGCTGACCAACGGGGAGACTGATCACAGAGTAGTGATTTCCAGAAGATCGAATGATTCTAAGATTTCCCTGCTGTGGGAATAGTCCCTATAGCCGCTATTGCCACATAAGAGGCTAACAAAGACCTATCATGACTGATACTGGTGGTGATTGTAAGAACGTTGTAGGCGCTTAATTTAGTGGAACTTTACGTGGACCAGATTCCCCCCCTTCCACCGCCGGTAGTCAAAAAAATTATAATAGAACTAACGATAATGATAAAACTACTACTGCTGCTGCTACTACTGAAATAGGGAGAAAAAAAAAAAAAAAAAAAAAAAAAAAAAAAAGAGAAAAAAAAAAAAAAAAAAAAAAAAAAAAAAAAAAAAAAAAAAGGCAAGAAGAGAGGAGAAACCGACTGATGTACAATCGATCACAGCGGTTCTGCAGGACTCCTGGTTGGCTGAGCGGGAGAGACGATCAGCGTTGGCGCCGGGACAAGAAGCTAACAGGAAATGTTCATTCGCTTCACAGGTGACCACACCTGCATGTATCCACTCTCTGTGAGTTGACTGGAGTGATGAGCTGGGCGGTTATGCTTGAATGATGAGATCACCGTCCACTCATTGTATTGCTCGGCTTTGTCTCCCTCCTCCTTGCTCCCTATGCTACTTTAACTCTCCCCCAATCACCTTTCCAGCATGGCTTGCTCTACAGTCTCCCGGCGCTTAGTACACGACCGATGTGAATCCATTCAACTTGGTCCCTTCTCCCCCCCCGGGGGGCTGCTAGCCCCCGGGGCCAGCCCAAAGCCCATCAGTACCATTCAAATGGGTACGCCTCGCGCAACTGACTTGATCACTTTTCTTTGTCTCCCTTCAACGTCTTGTTTTCTGGATCTTGTTTGGCTCAAGAAGCGCTGGCTTCGCAATCTTCGCCCAAGCAGACCGTCAGCAAGAAAGTCGATTGGTAAAGCTCTCCAGGATACTAAATCAGTAAGTTATTGTCATGCCATTCAGATCACTCCATATACAGCTGACCAAGTTCTTCAAGATCGATACTGTGAGACCGCAAACAGTCGAATCATCTAGTCAGTTTCTTCATTAAGGTACAATTCCTAAATTTGTCTCCCTCCCCTGCATTATGAACACCAGTGATGAAGCTCTTTCATCCTTAACTACATCTGAGTGTTCAAAGCTAACTCTCTTGTCTCCCTTAGAGTGCTTGGAATTGTCCTACCAAGCGCCCTTCTTTCATTGCTTATCACTGTAAAAGACCGGAAGAGAAGAGGCTGCGAGAGCTGGCTCTCTACGCACCTGAGCTTATCAGCTAGCTTACTAGCAAGACTCGTTTTACATACCGTCTGTTGACGCCCGTGTCGAATGACAGCCAGACAAATTATCCTTTGAATTACGGAGTGACTCAGGCAAATATCATTAGTGGACGCGGCCATTTATTCAATGGCACCTGCACAACAACCAGCTATAGAGGAGCGAAGCTCTTCAGACACTACGACTTCGTCAATAAAAAGCCCTCGGATGGCTCGCTTTGTGGAAGCAACGACGGTGCAATCCCCAACTGGGCCTGCTGACGCCAGGAGGTCACCGTTCGCAGACCCTCCCGGTCAGTCCCAGGCGCTCCCTGATGTGTCCGACGTAGGCTTTGGATATGTTGCCGCAAATGATTCGGTGCAACACGCATCCCATCACCAACTGCCAGCTTCACCACTCAAAAGTGCACTGAAAGTCCCCGGAACACCAGGGCGCACACTAAATCCACTCAGCCCAACTTTTCGTGAAGAGTTTTATGTGGAGAAGGAAGAGAAGTCTGCAGAGAAGGAGAATGCCAGAGATCTGGTGAGTCGAGTGGAGATGATACAGCCTTCTGCATGGGTGCTCATACTAATTCAACCCCAGCGAATTAAACTCCGCGTCCGGGTGGCCAAGATATTCTTACGCTTCGTGAATTTTGGCTGCAGTCTGATAGTCGTCACAATCTTAGCATTGACTCTGTTCGTCTTCCATTCTACTAAATCACTGCCTTCCAGGGGAGGTTTCCCTGCTTGGGCCAATGGCACCAATCCGTGGACTCAATATTTGCTCCTTTCAGTGGCATGCGTCTCGTTGTTTGCTTGCCTGATCGTATTTTGGGGCTATTGGAAAGGCGGCCACAAGCGTGCCGAAAAACTCACTGTTTACTATCAAACAATTGCAGTGTGCTTCTTCATGTTCAGCCTTGTAATGTGGATTGTCGCAGCGGCGCTTTACCAGAATGAAAAAGCCAACGGAAACAGCCAGGACCTTTGGGGTTGGTCCTGCAAGAAGAACACAAGAGAAACATTGTTCCAGAACGATATTGACTATGCCCTCCTTTGTCGGTTGCAGGTGAGCCTTCCTGGTTGCCATTTTTAGTATTTCTCTAGAGTCATTACTAATGTTATAGGACTGGGGCTTGGTGTGCGCTATTATTGAAGTCGTCCTCGAAGTTCTGGTCATCCTTATCTATGCAGTTGTGTTTTATCGGTTCTGGACCAAGAGGCGCCTTATGAAGTCAATGGACCGTCGTGACAAGGCTAGATCCGATCTGTACCTTGCCCAGCTCCGTCTTCAGTCAGCACCCAATACACCTGGAATTTCTCTCGCTCCAAAGACGCCTATAATATCTACAACTGTTTCACAAGATCCCTATTCAATGGCTGAAAACGGTGAATCATGCTCCACCCAATTTGCCACGCCCCGTTCTCCAACAAAGCCCCAGCCGGCCTTCCAATTGCAAGCACCTCCCATCCGTGTACAACAAGCGACTCCTAAGACAGAGCAGGGAGAGTTCCTTGGCCCTAGTTATGTTCCTACGGCTCCTGAGCCGGCACCGAATGTTAACCAGCACATGGCTGCTGCGCCTGGCGAACGGACCTACGATGCTGTGCCGATTCCAAGGGCGTATTCGAGTCCAATGTCACCCACGTTCCCTCATGCCTCGCGTTAATGATTTCCACGTTTAAATAGCCTAATCAATGGTTGGAATGTGCATATGCACCTGCACACGAAGCCTTGGAATACAGAGTCTGACACCTTGTATTTATTCTTGATGATTATATTATTCCTCGTTCCTTTGTTCCGAATGGTAGCACGGTATTGTGTTTTCTCGAAATGTCTCAACCACTTTCATATATTCTCTCATTCAATGCGATTGTTGGGTGGGCGGGGGGTTACCTACTAGTACCTCTATATAACGCACTGTATGCATCTTTCTGCCACATCGATATGAATTGAAAGAACAACATTGTGATTTGTGAGTGTCTTGGACATTATGGGACTGCTGTTTTGTCCGTATATCCCCGAGGGTATTGTACATAAGTCCAGGCACAACAGAAACAATATAAGTTATTCACCAAACTAAAGTAGATACAAGAATGTCGAGAAAGGATATGGAAAGAATATAACCAAGCCGTGAATGTGCTCCTGCCAGGATTGCGATTAACCAATGTGATAAAACTGAATATCAGACCATTCAAATTCGAGCAAAAACACAAATACCACCCAGTATGAAATACGAGCCCCAACTCCTTTGCGACATAACGTCGAGCATTGATCCTGAACTATATTTAGTTCCTCATGAGCATCCTGTAACCCTGGAACAAGAAATTGCCTGTGCATTTAATGTAAACAACATATGTCAGTCTCATTATATAGCGCCTTCTTCAAGAATTGCATTGGCATCCTTTATGACAAAGATGTCTTCCAGCCTGCCTTCACCAAGACCACTAGAATCATCATCATTCTGCAGCATGAGGCCCTGTTCATTGGCCAAGTGAAGCAGACAAATAAACCCGAACGAGGTACTGATATCACGTAGCGTTTCCGGAGGGTAGACAGATTTGAGTGAATTCATGATCTGCGTAAATCGGAGTTGACCATTCTCCTGCTGCATGTCATTCACGGATGTGGGTGCTGGAGGTTCATTGGCCTCATTTTCAGTGGGTTGTTCTCGATGTGGGCTTTCCTGAGAGGGATCAAAACTTGTTGATGCGATTAAGCGTTCACCCATACCCTTCCACATCTCCACTTTAAGTCGTCGAACATCAACTTTCTTGGCCACTCTTGCATACGCAACGTAGTCAGGGCGCGCTCTCCGACCACCTTGTGTTACTAGTTGTGACCCGAATCCTCCAGCTCCGCTTTGTAACGCTGAGCCAGGTGTGGCGCCCACCATGCCCAAGAGCGCTGTAAGTCCCGAAGCACCGCCAGCGTCCCCTGCTGGGTTTCCTGGCTGTCCATCGGATGGCGGAGAGAGTATCTCTCTAGCATCCGCAAAGGGTAGGTTATCATCGTCATCATCACCCAAACCAAGGCCGTTAGGGAATGCAAGGCCATCATCATCTGCGAAGAAATTTGCATCATATGCGCCGGGGGCGCCTTCCCCACCGGGAGTTGCATTATTCTCCGGCTTATGATTTGCCCAGAATGCTTCATCCATTTCTCCATTCCCCGCTGTCCGGTCTTCCCTGTGTTGGTTAAATTGCCGAGTACCCACCAGTCTTCTGGAGCCCATCCTGGCCTTGGGCTTGAGAAAGAGGCGAAGCAATTGTCGCGAATTGAAGTGTTTATCATCTGGAAGAAGGTTACGGCCCTTTGTCTTCCATTGTGTTTTAGGCAACGATATGGTAGAGTTGGAGCTTGCTGGGGTATACATCAACTCAGCAACGGACGATTCCAACGGTGCAGAAAAGTCAATTTCAAAGGGCTCTTTTTCCTTCCGCTGCTTTGGGGCAGCGGAAGCAGTATTTGCCGCAGCATGCTCTTTAATTCTGCGGATTTTCCAGTGTTCCGGGCCTGCCCAGTTTTTTTGTAGGGCATTATCGAAGTAGCTGAGGATATTTTCATGGTCCTGCATGTTAGGCTGATGGGTAAGAGAAATGGCATATACATCGTCATTATCTAGCTCTTCACCATCCTGAATCTCGTCATTGCCCCGATCGACTCGGTGAACTTTAAGCATCGGCTCCAGAGCAGCTTCACGAGCCCATGCTTCACCACCATCACCGAATCCGGTGTCTCCACCAAGATCAAAGCCCGCCAATGTTGCGTCGTCATCATCAAATCCAACAGCATTGTCGTCATCGAGCATGATTCCAGATGCATCATTCGGAATGTGCCCTTCATCGTGGCCCTTATCATTACGCCAGTCTTCGGGGGCCTTGAGAAATGGTATATCCAACGACCCGCTCGGGTCGCCAAGATCAAAGTTTTTCAACGATGGGCAGATATCCTGCATTTCAAGACGTTCCAAATCTGGAAAAAACTGGTTTGCCAAGGACGCTATGTCAATCTCCACGTTTTCTTCGAAAATATCGTCAGATGATTGCCTTGGAGGTGGCGACGGAGATCCTGGGTGTTGAGGATCCTCTGACCCTTGTCGCACATCATCCATATCTTTCGAGCTCTCTTCTGTGGCATCATCACTACTGTCGAAAACTATTCGCCCTTGCCCATCAATTGCCAAATGGTTCAATAGCAAGCCTTTCGCGCCACCTTCGTCAAAATCCGCCGAGGCCTTTTTGAATAATGGGTCGACAGAAAATTCAAGTTCGAACTTTTTTAGTTGGAGTGAGGCAAATGAGGGTGCAAGTGTAGCCTCATGAGATCGTTGCGCCTTGAAAGGATCGGTTAGCTATTTTAATACTTGACTGTATCGCCTTGGTTGTTGTACCTTCCGTCGGGACTTCCTTCCCATCCCTTCCTCTCCGTCCTCATCCTCGGCACCATCGTCGTCTACACCTGTCTCCTGGGGCTTCCTATCGCGACTATCGGCCAAGCCACTCAGAAGTTTGCCGGTCTCCGTCGCAACACTGTCGACCCTGCTCGTGTAAATTTTGACGCACCCATCGAGCGTACAACTAGCTTTTTGGAAGTTCACACCATCGCCCTCCTTCAGCAAGGACATGTCATGGAAGTAATCAATGAGTGCGAAATTCCATGAATTATTTGCGTTGATCTTGTTGTCGGTCGCCATCTTCATCCATTCCTCAAAGTTAGCTAAGATAGGCACACGCTTCATCGGGGTTACAGCTCTCCGGCCGTCAACATCGCTTTCGCGGCCTCTGTGTCCTGATCCGCGCGGTGTGACCGGGCTCATGCTGGATCCACGCTCATGGCCAGTGTATCTTCGAGGAGGCATAGGTGTCTTGACAGCTGCTTTGATCTGGTCCATCTGGCGGTCATGGCGAGCCTGTCGGGCTTCCATGCGAGCCGCCTTTTCGCCCATGTCATCATTGAGCGGGATTCTTAGTCTATTAGCTTACATACCACTAGAATAATAGAGGCCATTTAGATCTTTCAATACGCACTTAATAGGTGAATTCTTATGGGGGGTAGAAGCACCACCGGAGCGGCGGTGCTTAGGATTCGGTGCGCGGGGCATTGTGAGACCTCCCAGGAGTACAGGATAATATCCAGTGGATCACAGAAAGATAGCGGTAAGAAGAGTGAAAGTAAAAAAGATAACTAATTGACAACAAAGCAGCCACAGTTTAAGATACTCATTCTCTGTACTGCTGCGTACTGAAACCTGTCGCGATGTGCTCTGGAAATACAGCGAAGTTTCCCTCTTTGGCCGACAAGAACAAACAAATGGGAGTCAACAAAAACATACGCCATACCAGAGCAACCTGGAGTGCAGATCCTTGGCTAGATGGTCGAGTCACATGATATGTGATAGCTGACTCGAAATGCACGTGACAACGCAACAGTTTTCAAGCGTAGGTTTTCTTTTTGGTCTTTTTGTTTTTGATTTACTTTTTTCTCTTTCACCATATTCATGCCCTTGTTTTTTGTAGTAACTTTATCGTCCTTTATTTACACTTCACTACTAATACTACATTCAAGTCATTGTGCTGCTATTAGGCTTGATCAGGTGCCTAGCCTCAACCAACGTTCAAGAAGTGGCGACCTGCGAGCCACTTTCTCCACTGGGGTTGACATCAAATGAGTGGCTAGTGACTTGCCGCGTGGAGTCAACTACTCAATCTACGCTGATAGCTAGATAACCATATGCACATATCCCTTACAACCATGTTAACCACCGCCGACATTTGGACGTTTTAAACTACTACCTTGTCCTTTCTGACAGGGTGTAACTTTTCACTTCACTGCCCATGATGCTGTCGCGTCTTACACTATGTCTGAAATACTCCCTCCAATCTTGAGCCGCCCATCAGGGCGGCGTTATTCCGTTCGACCTTTCTACTGGACTCTCATAGTGATCACGACCTTGGCAGTTCTTAGCTGGGTTTTTGGATTATATGAAGATGAAGCAATTGCGTTTCCCGTCAAACGATTCCTGCGAGGAGGGGGTTCTGACAGGCAGGGTAACTTCAAGCGGGGCACTGATCTAGAGGTATCACAACTAGTTGCTTTCATTATCCATAATAATTCATTAGGATGGGTTGCTAAAGCGTTTCATCTTCCACTTTAGTGCCGCATGGTTCGTAAAGCACACGACAAGTGCTCTTACGTCCGCATGAATTGCCCTGACCATGAAGATGGCCTGTTTTCGTATCTCCAATTCTATTATTGCGCTCTCGCAGGTGCCAAGCCATTCGCATTCACCATCCTTATCCTATGGCTCTCACTACTGTTCAGTACGATCGGGATTGCCGCCAGTGATTTCCTATGTATTGACTTGAGCACTCTAGCTGGTGCACTTGGTTTGAGCGAAAGCTTGGCTGGCGTCACATTTCTTGCGTTTGGAAACGGAAGTCCGGATGTCTTTTCTACCTTCGCCGCCATGAAATCTAACAGCGGTAGCTTGGCCATTGGGGAGCTGCTTGGAGCCGCAAGCTTTATCACGTCGGTCGTTGCAGGGTCGATGGCGTTGGTCCGCCCGTTCAAAGTTGCTCGAAGAAGCTTTGTTCGTGATGTCGGGTATTTCATCGCGGCTGTGAGCTTCAGTATGTTATTGTTAGCAGATGGCCGCCTCCATACATGGGAATCCGCCGCGATGGTCGCTTTATATTCCTTTTATGTCGTCTTGGTCGTAACCTGGCACTGGTACTTTGTGCGCCGCCGTCGTGTCTATGAGAGGGATATAGCCGCACGGTCACACTTCCATATCCCTGAAAACCAAGAATTGGAGATCGAAGAAGCCGAAGATGATGATCCTGGAATCGTCTCTGAGTCCACAAGTCTTATCCACGGTGTTTCAGTACAAGATTTCGACGCCTTAGAGAGAGGTGGAGAGGCCTCTTGGAAAGATGGGGATGACGACGAAACCCGCAACCGGTATTTAGCAGAAATACGGGATAATATGCACGTGTATCGTCCCTCTGTACACAGGCGTAATACTTTGAACCCTATCAGGCCCAGTCTGGTTGGTGCGCTAGAGTTTCAGTCCGTTGTTTCTTCTCTTCAGCGGTCGCGGTGTACTCATCAGAACGTGCCGATTACCCTCCAGCGGTACACAGATGGTTACGACGGGACTCCGACGGGACTCCCAGAACGTGACGATATCTCTGTTGCTTCCCACCCAAGGATCAGTATTCCTTCTGCAACAGGCCATCTGTCGCCTAACAGTGTAATGAGTTCAACTCAAACTCGAACTCGAGCTGTGTCCGCCGACGATGCCACGGGTTTGAAGTTAGACACTAGCGTGTTCGATCCTGGTACAAAGCGACCACACGTTGCTATAACTCGGCCCTCGGTCGATGATCCAACTACATTTGTTCAGACACAGACGCATCAAACGTATAAGAGTGGCGAGTCAGAACTATCGCCGTCGTCGTCCGGACAAGCATGGCGAAGTCCCAGTCCAGAAGGAAGTACGCGTCCGCGGACCCCACAATTACTTGCACCCCCTGGTACTTTCCACTCTCCAAACTACCAGGCTGAAACGCCCGAACCAAGATCTCCTCTGGAGGTTTCCCCACGAGGGTCTCCATTCACCTCTGGGTCCGTTGATACTCCAGTGGGGAGCCCTTGTAGTCCATTCCCCCCGTTCCTTGATACGTCTAATCCGGTGCACTCAAGGGCATCTAGTATACGCTTACCACCTGCTTCTAGCCCCACGGAGGAGCTGCAGGTACATGACAGCATCTATGGCAATGGGTGCCCTCAAGCTTCGGCCCAGATGCAGTGGTGGTCTTCTTTCACATCCGTTCTTTTACCGTCTATCGTTCGAACACTCTTCCCTACTCTGGCTGGGTGGAAGACGAAGAGCTTCTGGGAAAGGATGCTAGGAGTTATTGCAGCTCCTAGTGTGCTTTTACTGACAATTACTGTCCCTGTTGTTGAGCCCGCACAACCCGAAACCAGTGCAGATCCTGTAACGGTCGTAGTGACTTCAGCAGATGGAGGAGACTCAGGAATACCTGCAGTGAGGCTGCCGGAGGATAGCCCGCTTGTTCGAGCTGTTGACCACGGATCCACTGCCGAACAAGCTGCAGGTCATACTAGCAAAAGCCAATCAATGCAGAGGCGACAACGTTGGGACTCAGAGTTGCCAGCCGTTCAATCACAGCCAGATCCTTCGGCGTTACCTCCGAAGGAATGTTGTCAGTGGCTAGTTTGGATGCAAATATTCACCGGCCCCTTTTTTGTTGCTTTGATTGCCTGGACAGCCATTGATTCTGACCTCGACATCCGCAATCTCTTACTACCATCGTTGTTATCTCTACTCTTGTCGCTGGTATGCATCACTGGTCTTATCATAAGTTCACGACATAGTAATTCTTGGCAATTCCCAACTGCATGGCGCCCTTTGCTGGCTTTCTTGGGCTTCATTGTTGCTATATGCTGGATTGCGACCATAGCTACCGAAGTCGTCAGTCTCCTCAAAACCCTAGGAGTGATCTTGAACATCAGTGATTCACTCCTGGGACTGACCGTGTTTGCCGTTGGAAACTCGTTAGGCGACCTTGTTGCTGATATCACCGTTGCCCGCCTAGGCTACCCAGTTATGGCGTTGAGTGCTTGCTTTGGCGGACCTATGTTGAATATTCTTCTAGGGATTGGCCTAGGTGGCCTGTACATGACCCTTCATGCAAAAGCAGAAACGGTAGTCACGGATGGAGTTCCGTATGAGATCACCATATCCAAGGTGCTCATCATCAGCGGCGCCACATTGCTATTCACACTAGTTGGGCTACTGATAGTAGTCCCGTTGAACAAATGGAGAATGGACCGAAAAATCGGCTGGGGTCTAGTGATTCTATGGTGCATCAGCACTTTGACGAATGTTATTGCTGAAATTTTAACTTAAGTCTTCGTGTTTATGGAGGTATCTGCCAGTGTGTCACCATCATTGAGGCATTTTTGTACCTTTAGTTCTTTAACAGTTTCCATTATAAATAGTGACTGGCTGTGAACACATTGTCAGATGTACTGATATGCCACCTATTAATTCGGAAAAGAAAAAGGATACGAAAAAGAAAAATCGACCCTAAGGCTATCTCGTACCCCTTATCTATGATTTTACGATGGTAGAAAACAGTATATTGATTTTGCAGTAATGGATTAAAGCGAACGAAGTGGCTAGGCATAGTGACTATAGGTTTCTACCCAATTGAATTCTGGCAAACTGAACTCTCTAACCACCTCTTGCTAATCGAGCACTCTCCCTGCAACAGAGCTAAGACTCCGGTCATTTGTCTGAACTTTCCTGAGCCCTTTACCGGCTTGAATAGAGGCTAGTAGGGCGCTTCGATTAGGTGCTCCTGCCGGTGCAGCCGGAGGAGCTGGTGGTGGAGGAATCCCCGGAGGGGCCGAGGTGGCCATATGAAATACAGGCGGGGGCGGCGGTGGGGGGGGAGCATCTGGAGGACCAGAGCTGAGCGCTATCGAGGGAACCGGTGCTACCACTGGTGGGGGTGGAGGTGGAGGTGAGGAAGCAGCAGAGGGTATAGACAAGGTTCCATCTGCCTCGGGTGCCGTTGGAGCGGCTACTGGAGTATCTGGCGCAGGGGTAGATGGTTTCGAAGGAGATTTGTCGTCCATCGCACTCAAAGGTCGCGGTGGAGCCATAGTACCGAATAGTATGCTTGCGAGCTGCTTCGCACTTCCGCCGCCAGGCCGCTCATCATCATCATCATCGTCAGACGAGTCGAAGTCTGATCCTGCCGCAGACCAGTCGTCATCCGTCTCAGGACGTGCACGGGACACACGCTCTATTGGTCCTGCTGCTGTGAATGCGGGCTTCGCGTTATCTTGCTGTTGTGCAAGCCGATGGAAAGGGTTAGTTGACTGAACGTCAGCCTTGGGGGAGGTTACAGGGGCCTTAGAGACGGGTTGTGGTGTGGCAAACTGGCTCTCGGCAGGCTGACTGATCTTCTTGAAATAAGGGTTCTTAGATTCAGTCTCTAGAGGGACGTGGGATAATCCGGTGCGATCGCTGGTTGGCGAGCTCGTAGCACTAGTCGATCCGTCTGGCTCTGGCCCAGGAACAGGAGGGGCTGGAGCTGAGGGAGCAACAGGTGCTGCAATGTCGACTCCAGGAAGAATTTGACTCTGAGCAGGGGTGCTATGCTGAGGAGTGATGTTCTCCGGGTCTTCTTCGTCCGAGGAGCTTTCCTCATCTAGGGCTTCCAGTTCCAGTTGGAGCTGTCGTTCCCGTTCT